TAGGAAATCTACAAAGTTCCTCTAATCAGCAATGAATATTCTAAGTCCCTCAAGCTGGTGAATATTCCAAGTCCATCAAGTTATAGATGTGTGAAATCTACAAAAGTTCCTCTAGGTAGAGATGAATATTCTAAGTCCATCAAGCTGGCGAATATTCTAAGTCCATCAAGTTATAGATGTGTGAAATCTACAAAGTTCCTCGAGGTAGAGATGAATATTCTAAGTCTCTCAAGCTGGCAAATATTCTAAGTCCATCAAGTTGACGAATATTCTAAGTCCATCAAGTTGTAGATGTGTGAAATCTACAAAGTTCCTCTAGGTAGAGATGAATATTCTAAGTCCCTCAAGTTGGTAATATTCTAAGTCCACCAAGTTATAGATATAGGAAATCTACAAAGTTCCTCTAATCAGCAATGAATATTCTAAGTCCCTCAAGCTGGTGAATATTCCAAGTCCATCAAGTTGACGAATATTCTAAGTCCATCAAGTTATAGATGTGTGAAATCTACAAAAGTTCCTCTAGGTAAAGATGAATATTCTAAGTCCCTCAAGCTGGCAAATATTCTAAGTCCATCAAGTTGACGAATATTCTAAGTCCATCAAGTTGTAGATGTGTGAAATCTACAAAGTTTCTCTAGCCAGCGATGAATATTCTAAGTCCCTCAAGCTGGTATTATTCTAAGTTCAAGTTGTAGATGTAGGAAATCTACAAAGTTCCTCTAGCCAGCGATGAATATTCTAAGTCCCTCAAGCTGGCGAATATTCTAAGTCCATCAAGTTGACGAATATTCTAAGTCCATCAAGTTATAGATGTGTGAAATCTACAAAAGTTCCTCTAGGTAGAGATGAATATTCTAAGTCCATCAAGTTATAGATGTGTGAAATCTACAAAGTTCCTCTAGGTAGAGATGAATATTCTAAGTCCCTCAAGCTGGCAAATATTCTAAGTCCATCAAGTTATAGATGTGTGAAATCTACAAAAGTTCCTCTAGGTAGAGATGAATATTCTAAGTCCATCAAGTTATAGATGTGTGAAATCTACAAAGTTCCTCTAGGTAGAGATGAATATTCTAAGTCCCTCAAGCTGGCAAATATTCTAAGTCCATCAAGTTGACGAATATTCTAAGTCCATCAAGTTGTAGATGTGTGAAATCTACAAAGTTCCTCTAGGTAGAGATGAATATTCTAAGTCCCTCAAGTTGGTAATATTCTAAGTCCACCAAGTTATAGATATAGGAAATCTACAAAGTTCCTCTAGCCAGCAGGGAATATTCTAAGTCCATCAACTTATGGATGTATGAGATCTACGAAGTTCCTCTGGGCATCAAACTCCAGGCAACTTTGGTGAATATTGACTAAGTCCCTCAATATATGCGTGAATATTCCTTAAGTTCCTCTGGGCATCAAACTCCAGGCAACTATTGTGAATATTGGCTAAGTCCCTCAAGGTTATATCCTCTAAGTGCATCAACCTAAAATCTGCTAAGTCCATCTACAGGTATGCCTCTAAGTATACCTCTACCTAAAATCCACTCAGTCTCTCTACAGGTGTGTTGAATCTGTCCCAAGATCCTCTAAGTACCTCTGGCTAAAATCCTCTAAGTCCCTCAATGGGTTTGTCGAATCTGCCTAAGATCCTCTAAGTATACCAGGGTAATATCCTCCAAGTCCCTCAATATGTGGGATGAAAATCTTCTAAGTCCATCAGATATATGCGTGAATATTCCTAAGTTCCTCTGGGCATCAAACTCCAGACAACTTTGGGGGAATATTGGCTAAGTCCCTCAATATATGCGAATAATCCTCTAGATTATATCCTCTAAGTGCATCTACCTAAAAATCTGCTAAGTCCATCTACAGGTGTGTTGAATCTGTCTCAAGATCCTCGAAATACCTCTGGGTAAAATCCTCAAAGTCCCTCAACGGGTTTCCAGAATCTGCCTAAGATCCTCTACGTATACCAGGGTAATATCCTCTAAATACCGCAGGTTAATTCCTCTTAAGTGCCTCTCAGTATATGTAGAATATGCCTAAGATCCTCTGGGTACATAAGGGTAAAATCATCTAAGTCCCTCAATATATGTGATGAAAATCTTCTAAGTCCATCAGATATATGCGTAGAATTAGCCTAAGTCCATCAAGCATCAATCCCTGGAGGCACACAGGTCTGTCCTTTCTCAGTTCCAGCTAGAAAAATGCCTGCTGAGTCACCTGGTCGTCTCTATTTATACCCCAGACATGTATGTAACATGTACTAGGTTTTGCACACGAACCTAACAAGTGATTAATGGGCTGATGCAATACCTAGACCCCTGGACAGGACAAGACTGGTGTACAATTACTATGATGCAATCAGGATATGAATAGTGCTAAATAACTGGCTTCATTTAGAACTCACAATCTGTGCTATCTAATGTAATATTAATACATGTTTAGTATATAATTAACAAGATAAATGTATAAACTAAATAAATATAACATAAACCAATCATCATTGGCTATAATCATGCCGAAATTGACCGAAAAAACTGGTAATTGAATGTAGGTCAAGATAGCTCTTCAATAGTAAGGTGAGAAAAATGTAAACAAATGAAAGCAAAAAGAAATCTCACAAAATCGAACAGTTTACATGATTCTGCCTACTCTTTTAGTGTTACATACATTCATGTAAGTATACTACTTGTCAACCAAACTGGAAAACGCTTTCTTACTGAGTTAACTGTAAGAAAACTGATAAAATGGCACTGGACTACAAATAATCGAAAATTTGAAAAGTAAAAATTTGTTACAATATGATATCTGCACGAGCGAGCGTAGCGAGAGAGTGCAGATATCAATAACCATGAGTGGATTAAAATCATATCACGAGTAAATCATAGGATGTTCTTTTTATTCCATAGTTACAGTCATCATCAGAATCGTCGGAAATTAAGTCATTTAATTCGAATTTTCCAAACAATCCGGCGATGTTGACACTTAGCCTCGTTTTGAGTCTGAAGTAGCAAAAATCCATAAACCATCGCATACGACGTCGTATGTCATGGCTAAAAAACCGTATGCTATGGTTAAGTGAAAATTTGTCAAAAATATCATATTTTACCACTGATTACAAAAATACCGTTTTTATTTTCACATGTTATCCTATGAATATCATGCTAACTATGGAATAAATGTATTTATTATGCAATATGCATCTCACATTTAGTGCAATATATGTATTTATAGTAACATTTGTCCTCGACCATATGCATTTTGCAATTCACATTTAGTGCAATATATGTATTTATTGTAACATTTGTCCTCGACCATATGCATTTTGCAATTCACATTTAGTGCAATATATGTATTTATTGTAACATTTGTCCTCGACCATATGCATTTTGCAATTCATATTTAGTGCAATATATGTATTTATTGTAACACTTGTCTTCGACCATATGCATGTGCAATTCACATTTAGTGCATAATTAATATCAAGTAGATTGTTACTTCGCTGTGAATAACTTACATTTTTGCTGAAACTTACATGTCCAAAGTGTGATGTGCTGTGTATGATATGCCTACAAATCAGCAAGTAAAAACGTTAAGACAGGTAAACATTTATAGATAAACAGTCTCCTGGAATATTTTGCCAACCTTAATTTGACCCCAAACCTAACAAGTACAACATGTTATCAATTCCTGACCCTTTGTAATTGAGGAGATAATGGGAAAATCTGGATATAAAGTATCAAGTAACATCTCATATCATATCTTATAGACATATTGCTCCCCCCCCTCCGTCCCCTCCCCCCTCCGTCCCATTTTAATTATTTTCGATTATTTTTTATACAACGTATGGAAACATATTTTGGAAAGTCATTAAGGTCATTAATTTTATGATGATAATGTCACTTACAAATATTTATTGCAGGTTGTGTAGACCGTTGATGCTTGATTTAAAGCAAAAACATTGACTTTTGCACGTTGGTGGCGTTGCGCCTTTTTTAATAGATCTTATACCTAAGAAGAGAATCGGCTAAAAAAATTCGTAGAATACGCGACATATTTTACCATACCGTGCGCCTATTCGTTTAGCAATTAAATCATAAACCTTTTCTTGAAAAAGTAATTTTCGCGGATTTGTTCATTTTTCTACCAGAAATTGCTTGCTCCCCCCTCCGTCCCATTTTCACGATTACCGGGTGTGAAACTGAGTGGGGATCGATTTGATTCGCCCACCCTCCCCTGTAGACATACGGGTTATTAGATGTCTCTAGAATTCCCTTCCAGTCGTGCTTCGGACAGAGCTTTGGAAGAAGGCATAATAAAATATGTTACACCAGCTAGGCTATTAGAAACCTTGTATTGGAAGACAACATTGCACAAAATTTGTCCAATATTTCACTGCGCATGCGCAGACCCATTACTTCCGGTTTTCCAAAGCCTATGGGATTTATAATGGAGACATTTTTCGAACGCTTACTGTGCGAATGATATTGATTTGCCACCTTAGTCATCTCAGGTTTCTATAACTAGACATCAACCTTTACTGATTTAACATGTTTTAAGCAATGTACACATGCACACTTTTCGGCCAATTTGTTTTGAAAAAATCATGAGGAATTCATGCATGACTCCATTGAAATCCATTAGAAATGGCGTCAAAATGGTGAAATGAGGATATTCAACGATCTGGTAGAGGTACTTAAAATCATATGGTATCTTAGTCATCTCAGGTTTCTGTAACTTTGAAGGTAGATCTGTTTGATTCCGTTGAGATTAGAATCCTCATACCTTTAACTTTTCGGCCAATTTCAAACAAAATATGATAACTTTTGGTGATATAACTGGTTCATTACATTGGAATGACGTCAAAATAAAATAAGACAATCTCAGTTTCTATGGCACTGACGTCATGACGTCAGATTTATCTTAAGATCTCAAATATGACGTCATGTTTAATCAATGAATGACATCTATCGGCTATTCGACCAATTCTGTGCAATGAACCAGCTTACCAAAGTCGAGAATATCGTCAGACTGTTGCAGGTCCGACTGGAGAAGTAAGTCGATATCCGAAGCGTTACATGTCGAGGGTACACACTCTCCGATCCAAAACACAGGCTGGAATAAAAAGAAAAAACAGGTTTGAGAAACAGAAATAGAAGCAAAGGAGTTATATATGCATCTTGGTACGAACAAATTCAAGAAAATGCTCGGTATCATGCATGGATGAGCTAAAACAATGTTAAAACATCGAACATGAATTACCTGGACATCTATTGGAATCCCTATGTCCATGAGTGAAATATCCACCGTGGTTTCAACTGTGCAATACCTGCCATCAAAGCTTGCGTTTTCTTCGGGAATGGTATCGTCATATTCTGTGAGATTTGCTGTGATACGCAAACATTCGTCATAGTTTCCAACAAAGTGGAGGTTTCCTTCGAAGAGACCTGGAGACACCTTTCCCCGAGCGTCATCCACTACAATTACTTTGTTATTTATTGGGGCTTTATAATACATGTTATTTATGATTAGGGTTTTATAATACATGTAATTTATGATAAAGGTTTTATAATACATGCAATTTATGATTGGGGTTTTATAATACATTCAATTTATGATAAGGGTTTTATAACACATGTTATTTATGATTAGGATTTTAAAGTACATTTAATTTATGATAAGGGTTTTATAATACATGTAATTTATGATTAGGGTTTTATAATACATTTAATTTATGATAAGGGTTTTATAATACATGTTATTTATGATTAGGATTTTAAAGTACATTTAATTTATGATAAGGGTTTTATAATACATGTAATTTATGATTAGGGTTTTATAATACATGTAATTTATGATTAGGGTTTTATAATACATGTAATTTATGATAAAGGTTTTATAGCACATGTAATTTATGATTAGGCTTTTATAATGCATGTAATTCATGATTGTGGTTTTATAATATATCGAATTAGGGTTTAATAATACATGCAATTTATGATTGGGGTTTTAAAATAGATGAAATTTATGAATCGGATTTTAAAATATATGTAATCAGAGACATACATGTATCGCTTCTGAACAATAATGAATAAAAACATCTAAGAAAGCAATCTGAGGGGCCTCCTCATAAGGGTTACAGTATGTACTGGGAGGTTTTGGATACAGGGTTTATCCCAAGGGAAATATGTGTATCTCCCTCGGTCTCTGCGGTCCCTCGGGAGATACACATATTTTCCTTGGTATAAACCCTGTATCCAAAAAGCGACCGTACATAACAGATGTATTTCATATCTACTGAGGTTCTAGGTACATCATACCTTATAAAATTCCAAAACTTCTTGGTGTTAAAGTTTGCGAGATTTTCAAAAAAAAATTAAAATAGAAATTTAAAACAAAATTGTGAATTTTTTTTCAGGAGCGGGACCGGGATGGATACAGCGTATCTCGGTCCCGGGCCTTATTCCCGCTCGTTATCCTCCATAGCGGAAAAATCATCCGATCCTGCACTGTGATCACCTTTCTTATTACCGATTTCATAGAAATTATATGAGGTTTTATCAATGGCTCTGTTAAGGCCGAGCACTAGTTGTACTAACGTACTTGTATCTGTGTGTTTACTTGTACTATAATTGTACTTTAACACATGTATTATAATCAATTGAGTTTAAAGATGCTGATTTATAAACAATTTAAGTACAAGTAAATACACGGATAATTAATTTTCTTTACACTCGCATTGTCTCTTTCAGGTGTCAAAGTGTCGCTCAAACTCAAATCACTGTACACAATCATGCTAGAACAATATATACGTACAAGGAGATATCATTAATTAGTGAGAAATGTAACCTCACATACACTCACGTTGTGCCGAAAAGGATGACTGTCAATAAAGAATATTATGCAATGATATAGATAAATGGCTTGTTTGCGATAACCCATGTGCTCCATTTAAAAAGTTTTAGTATTTTTCTCACTAAAACTCCCTTGTAAATTTACGTTTTAGCTATAAGTCGTTGTGCGAAACCTCTCCAATCAAAAGATATTGCGCATTCCGCTATCGGTCTTGCAAATGTTTGATTTTTGTAAACAATGATTTTATTTTTAATGTCGATGAATTCCATGTAATGACGGCTAAATAAACGCCTGTATTCATGAGGTACCAATTAACGAATTATAAAGAAAGACATTTTGATGCATTCAAAAACTATTGTTGAATAAGACGAATTTATGCGTTAAAATGTTCATTCTATGCTACTTACTCAGAAGTGCCCAGGGCTGGATGTTAAACAATTCTAAACCCGATTTCCGTTGTTTCCAATGTTCCCAACACAATGCCGAAACACCGGTTGGTTTCACCAGCGCAAGAGACTGTCTCTTTCGCCCAGTCCACGCTCTTCGAATATCTTGGAAGTTCGTCGTGTTTTTATGAAAAATCGCTTCTATCAAGAGCATCAGTTCCAGCGATTCCTTGAAGTTTTGCGCCTTATGGAGTGGTCTGTTCTGCGCCTTTTGGAGTGGTCTGTTCTGCGCCTTTTGGAGTGGTCTGTTCTGCGCCTTTTGGAGTGGTCTGTTCTGCGCCTTTTGAAGTGGTCTGTTCTGCGCATTTAAACCATACTTCGAGTTCCATTCTATATCTTTTCTGTTTTCTTTGCCAGTGTCGGCTGCAATGATGGTGGCAAGTGCCATGTCTCTCAATTCTCGCCATGCTTTTAGGTTCCTTACTAAACGCCCTGGGCTGCTATGTGCATGATATGGCGCATCCACAATTGGAATTCTTTTCAACACTTCCAAAACATTGGCAGAAGAGTCACTTTGTACTGTAGTAGTAGTAGATGCCAGGCATAACGAAAACAGTAGCGTCTTGGTTGTCCACATGCTGGCGGTCGTTAAGATGAGTAAATCTGGTTAATAGCTAGGCTAATTAAGATTGCACTACCGAGTCGCCCGATGTCCTGGCACTGATAGCCATAGAAAATGGTCATCACATGCCATGTTGAACGAAAATGAACAATTATGATAAGATTAACTAATACATTCGAGTGGATCAATATTACTTTGTAAATATTATCTCATGAGCACTCATGTAAACTGCGGATTTCTTCGCACTTTTCAATGAGTTGGCTAATTTTACCGATCCTTTTACCGGTCCTGCGCATGATAGATAGCCAAACAAAATACTTCCACAGACAGTTCTTGCCCAACAACTGCCGAGGGAGACTTATCTATGAATATGATGATGACCAGTTGAATGGTCTAAATCATAATTATTTACTAGTATCTTGAATAAACGCTAATATAAGTCACCATGGATTGAACTGAAACCAATTAATTGTATTATCTTAATTATCATGAAATGCAAGTCTTTTTAAAGTGTGTATTTCAATATTGTCAACAATTTTGATGCCATTTGGAATATGAAAGCTATTTTTGAAATACTATTAGTTTGTTCTATAATTTGAAGGTTGTCTTTTTTGCGGATATCACACTGTGACAGGCCAGGAGAGAGATCTTGACCAAAAATTATTTCAAAATCATGCAGATTTTCACCATTTTGAGAACTTTCCAAGAGGCTTTGGCCATTTTAGGCCAAAGTTGACCAAATATGACCCCCTCTGGAATTTTTAAAAAAGTAAACCCCTCCCCCTTGGAAAAGTAGACTACAGCCATGTATCAGATTGGTGAATTTCATTATATCAGACTACAACCATGGATTAAGTTTGTGAATTTCATTATAGCTTAGGAATAGCGGCAAGGAATGTTTCAGAATTCTGGTCTATTTATACATTTAAAAGTCAGCTGGAAATATTCATAGTACAATATACCATGAAACTTGAGTATTTTTAATTGTTTAAAAAGTGTTCTGTGTGAACTATGTTTTCACTACGATGATTAATAAAAACGTTTTTGTAATTTCAAGATCTGTTCACTCACAGACTGCTGTATTTCCCAAAGCACAAATGCAATGTTGAATAAGAGAATGAATAAAGGAATAATATTGAAATTAAAGTTGAAGACTTTACCCTTGCAGAAAGGATGGAAGAAGAATTCAGTTTATGTGTATTCTTAAATAAAATTCCAATTATCCTTATTATTTTGAGACAATGGTCAATGATTATTCCTAAGAAATTGACGGCATTGTCTTAATTTCAATATTCTCTGGAAGCTAGTTTTCATTACATGTAGTTGTGAAGATCATGTAATTTTTTTTAGATATTCAAAGAAAGTTTGTTTGCACAGAACCAATCACCAATTTTTGAAAGTCCTGTAAAACTGGACTAAGGGTAGTACCATGTGGAACACAACATGTAATGTTTTGAAGTTTAGATTCAATTTCATCATTCTGTGTTCTTATAAAAGTATCATTTTGAAACCATTAACCAACTTTTAGCTAATTACTGTAAAACCTGTCTATATCACGCCTAACCATCGACAAAGTACAGTGACAAGATATATCGTCGTACACGTAAGATGTATGGTGTCACTGTTTAACCGATTTGAAACAAAGCCAATGATGTAGGTTTGATGTAGATTTTAAAAAATAATCTGGGGGAATACATTATGGATTGCATGTTTGATATTGTGTGGATTTGTTTTGGAAGACATTTAACTTTCTTATAACGTTAAAAGATTTTCGAAACAGTGCCCGATTTTTTCATAGCCATATAATTGGTTGGTTGGAAAATGTTTTTTTACACAATATCCTTGATCATTACCTCCCCTGTCATCTAAAAGCGTGGAATATTTTTCTGAGAATATGTTTCTTTAAACTACACAATTAAGTTCTGTTGAAGATTTAATAAGTATTAACGTTTTGGCTATAATTTAAAAAATCATAAGTGTACGTTGTCAACTTGAATGTACGTTGTCCCATTAAACTTACTCAATTCACAGTTAACCCTAATACAGGCAACGTATTTTTCATAACACTAACAGACAGGGGGCCAGATGCATTTGAAATTGAAACAGAGCAATTACAGAATTACTTCAATTTGATTGAACTATTGAAACTATTGCGCCCTTTCCAGATAAATCATAAACGGGATTTGAAAGTCATATTCAATAAGCTAGTATAGATCTATCTATAAATGTCACTAACAAAACGTAAGGTAAAGACGCCAAATAATCAAAGAGGCTGGAAGCAAGCTCTGTGGCAGTGCTAGTCTTAAACGTATTCTATTCGAGTCATTGAATGGGAGTTTGGGCTGGTGGCTATCACCCAATGAGGACAAATTAACCACCGCAACAATACTTTCATAAAATGAAAAAGCAAAAAATCACATACCTTATCTTTAAAATTATCTGTACAAAGGATACTTGAACAATTTCGTTAAAGATCACATGTTACTCATAAACACCATTTTCACCAATTTTGAAATGAAATCATTACATTGTTTAATATTATATCTCATGAATTTCAATTACAGGGATAAGGTACATTCGAGTTGACAACGCACATTTCTGATTTTTTTAAATTACAATAAATACTTCAATATTTATAAACCCGTCCTAAATTGTGTAGTTTAGAGAACACATTCTCATAAAAATATTTGACACTCTTAGACGATAGGCGGGGAAATGATCAAAGGAAATGTGTAAAAAACAACATATTTCAACCGACTAATTATATGGGTAGATTAACCACGAAAAAATCGAGCACTGTTTGAAACTATTTTAACGTTACTAGAAAGTCAAATGTCTTCCCAAACGAATACACACGAAATCAAACTTAATTGCTCAGATAATTGTTTCATTAAGTGTTCATTAAGACAGGTTTTACTGTAATTGTGTTAATCTCCCTCTATTGTATTGTTAATTTCTTAACCATTCTTGAAATTTATCAAAGTACACTTATTCTGAATGTCTTATTTAAATTAGTGAATGGCACATCTCTGAATTAAAATGAGAATCAAATTAAAACCATTTTAAGTAAATTTACTACTAACTCTACCTCTTTTTGCCACCCACATTCAACCTTCATACACAACAACTTAAGAGTGGATTATTAGTGGATTATTATATTTTTTAAAACACACTTGTATATATATGGTATATATGTAGATACATAAAGTATATGGTATAATGTGTGAGTATACTGGAAACCTAGATACTGGTACAAATTAATCAAACATTAGCCACCCTAAAAGTATAAAGCTACATCAGATCTCTAAACAAAGCTATGCATTGTCTTGATCGAACAGCACAATCCAATATGCTACTATAAAACAATGTGGTTAAGGGAGATGGGTATGTTTTGATTTTTTTAAAGTCCGGAGTTGCATGTTATTTTCAGGAGATTACTGATTTATATACATTACATATACGGTCTATATCTTTCAAATTTGCACAAAGAGTGCCCCGAGGTATCTAGAAAAGAGTGTAGTGAATAATTTTGTAAAAGACGTATAAGAAATGGGAAAATAAAGTGACTTACTTATTTTGTACTTCTAAAAAGTAGGTCACTGAATTTTCTCATTTTTCCTACATTTTATAAACAAAATATTCTCCACATTATTTTCTAGGTACATTAGTGCACTCCTTATACAAAAGTGAAAGGTGTAGACAATATTGGAAAGGAGGAGTCCATATTATTTGAAAAGTAACATGTGACTCTATGAGTTTTCTCTCAAAATAAAGATCCATGTACTGAGCTTTATTTAAAATTTGAATATTTTCGCAAACAATTTTGCACTTTCATGTCATAAAATAACACTGATACATGAAGTTTACATTCTTATTCAACAGTTTGATTTTCAATCACACTGGTATCAGTAGACCTTTTTCCATTCACAAAATAAACAGCACCTTATTGGTTCTATTCAATTCAGACTCATTTTGAACCATAATTAATGGCCCTTAATTGGCTACTAATGAGGATGACTGCTCAGCTTCTATTTACCTAAGACTGTATATTAGGCTGAATAAGATGATAGGCCCATCTCATTCAGGGAAGATCAAGTGTGACGAAGATGTTGAAACCCTCAATCTATGAAAAAATAATAGAATTTTGGGCAGGGATTTCAACCTCAGAGGGTATGAAAACTTCATACATAGGTAATCCAAGATGTGAAGTTTAAATGAAATTAAAATAAAAAATTAAAATCTAAAAATTAAATAATAGCACCCTGATTAAGCATAAGGCCAGTAATGTTCATTTTAAAAAGCTAGAAATACATGAACTTTGACCTTAGTGTTTCATTTCTATCAAATTCTACTTGCCTTCAGATATGTGACATCATTAATATACAAAATAGTATAAAAGTATGTACATCATGTGACTATGATATGAGAATGACCACCTAATAAATTATTTGTCTGTTGGTCCCAAACAGGGTCCCAAGATATTGTAGCGCCATGTGTTAACAGGGTTCTCAACAAGAAAATGTTGATAGATCCATAAGTAATCTAAAGATTTTCATATAAATCTTCACAGTAAGTATAATTCTGAGATTAGAGTGTTTCTAAGATTTTCTTGTTTGTTTGATAGAGGAAAAATGGGGCATCCCTAAATCTAAAGGAGATGCAATGGCTTAGGTTTGAAGATTGTGGAGTACCCTGATTACATGATTTTAATGGGGTCTAGCCTGGATAATGGAGTCTGATTGATGTCGAACACGACGTGGTATGCTCTCAGGACGTGGTCTTAAAAGTTCTTGTATATGCTGCACAATAAGATCAATAGCAACTGTGTTATCAGCTCCCCGAGGGATTATCACATCAGCAAATTTCTTAGTTGGTAGACAGAAATCTTCAAAAGCTGGCTTGACATATGTCGTGTACTGGTGAAGAATCACCTCTAAATCACGGTCACGCTCTTTCATGTCACGTAAAACACGTCGTGACAGACGGGTATCTGAATCTGTATCAACAAACAATTTCATGTTGAACATTTCCAGAAGTTCTTTATAATAAAACACTAAGATTCCTTCAAAGAGGACCACATCTGCTGGATATACAGTTTGGCCCTTATCTTGAATGCGCTGGTGATTTTTATAGTCATAAGCAGGTATGTTGACATATTTTCCATCCTTGATATCTTGCATTGTTTTATACATTAGTTTATCATCGAAGGCATCAGGATGATCAAAATTAAATTCACCTCTGAATGCTTTTTCTCGTTCTACCTTGTTTAGTTCTCTGTAAAAACAGTCTTGGCTGACGATGATTACTTGCCTCTTGCAGTCATCAATATCATTTTGTCCAAGTTGTTCCATGATTTTCTTACAAACAGACGATTTTCCAGATGCTGTACCACCACCGACACCAATAAGGAAAGGACGGGGGACATGATCAAACCCATTTACTCGAATTGTTGTAGCACTTTTAGTTTGTCCCGTAGCCATGTCTGGAAAAGGAATATAGGAAATTATACTTCAGCTTACTTCCTGCGAAAGCTATGTAGATTTTGATACAGTAGCTTTCCCACGGCTCACTTGGACAGCTTAGTAATAGTGACCTTTAAAATATGAATAAAGATTTCAGCGGCTTACTTTTGGTCTCTAACTGTGTCTTACATCAGTATCATCAATCGGTGCAAGTATTGGAGCGCTGATATACTTCCTTTTCGATCAAGACTTGTAAATTATTCATCGAGTGAATGTTTTTCGAACCATTTCCAATATGGCGGTTTACTAGGAGCGAGATACGCAATGAACGAAATGAATTTTGAGAATGATTAGGTTCGGACAACCTCCGGAGATTCATGGAAATGTCCGAGCAGAAAACGCCATATAGGAATTTGGCAGTAAAAACATTCATTCGACTAACAATTACAAGTCTTGATCGAAAAGGAAGTACTTCAGCGCTCCAATACTTGCACAGAAGGATGATAATGATGTATAACATAGTTAGAGAACAAAAGTAGGCAGCTGATCGACTTAATTCGTGTTAAAAGGTCACAATTATTCAGCTGTCCATTTCCCCGTTTTAGAGCCATAAGTTTCAAAATCTAACATGGCTCTCGAAGTGAGTAAACTTCAGCTACATCTTGCCCACACAGATGCTCCCTGGCTAATAAGAAGGTGCAGCCGCCCTACAAAGTAGATTCTTATTATTTCCCAGGGACCACCCGTATCTTGCTTCACTTTTGAGAAACCATGGACCTCAATCAGGTACATAGAGAAACTGACCATGCCATGTTTATCATCATCTCAAATTTCCATGAAAAAAAATTATGAAAAAACACTCAAATTTCAAAATCCCAGTGATCGTGGAGGAATAAACATATATGAGTATGGCCATTGCATAAAGGATTATATCAAAAATATATTTTTAGATTTTACAAACCAAAGAAACGTTTCATATACCTGAAAATTGTGCTATTTGATGAGGAATAATAAATGTGTGCTGGAAAATACAATAAGTTATGCTCCATGTCGGTTCGTCTTTGCTAACTTCCGGTTTTTATTTATTTTTAAAAGTTTCAATATTATCCTTATTTTAGTCGTATAAATGGCTATTTAGTGTCACAGTACATTCTTAATCATGTCAGCAATATACAGAGGGTTGATTACCCGCCTTGACAAGGTTGTTCCTGCGAGATTTGCACCGATGTGGAACCATCCAGCAGGTGGGCTACATTTCATTTTTGTCACTTTCAAACTCGGACTTTCCATGTTTAGATCTAGTCAGAACTTATCCGATTGCAGGACTTATAGTGCTGAGGCCTCATTATATGGTCAATGCTAAATTAGCGATTCGGTTGTGTTGCACTTGCTAATCAACATTTTTGCAAGCACAAATCGTTCTCGCGACCCTTGGCTATATCCTCCAGTCTGAAATTTTTTTGAAATTTGGAATGAAAATATTCAGACTATAGCCCACATTATTGTATCCTATTGTGGTCGTACGCCCGTATCATTGGTAAGCCTGTCTTTCTACAATGTCGGAGAATGAACTACGCATTGCACTATTAGATGACCTACCTCGATACATTCCAGAGTATTTTAAATTTCTTTTTATGTTGTTAGATCGCCAATTGTATGGGTTTATCGGCAGAACGATCGATCGAAGAGATTTTAGTTTTTACATCGGAAATATGTCAGCAATTTTCAAAATGTCGGAAGGGGAATTCGCCAGGGATTTCCCTTATGACTGGTGCATGCCAGGAACTGAATGGAGGAATTTGACGGTTGAAATAAGTTAAATATTACACGCAAATATTGCTATCAAAAACGAAAATGAAAAAAAGATTATTTACAGTCCTTTACGGACTTCTAATGTCACAACCAGGTCAATGTAATACAGAAGCAAGATATGAGTGCAGCAAACAATTTTAAATATTAACTGCTCAAATATATCTCACATTTGATGATCTTTACTGCAGGAATGAGAATTCCATGATAGTTTGTATTGTCAAAAGTTTTAATTAGCCTACTCAAATGAATTTTCAACTTGTAGTATGGATCTTTAAGGTATTAAATATGCTAGACAAAATATTAAATAGAAGGGTATGAATGTTTTACCCTTTGATATTTGCAGGCCCTAAAACAATCTTCTTTTGGGCTCCAACCATGAAATGGGTAAGTGATTCTGAATTGTTAAAGACTATAGAGGCATGTTTTTTTTAGTGCAATTGTTTTTGCTCCTTTCTACCAATTCTTGAGAATGAAATAAAATATCATTCTGAACCTTGTTGGAAAGAAATAGCATATACAACATGTTTTTAGACCTCTCAATATTATAGTTATATAAAGGAATTTTTGGTTGATTTTAAAAAAGTATTCAAAAAATTAAAACAAAATCCCCCCAAAATAGATAAAAATCAAGATAAACCCTTTACTGTACACCCGGTATTATTCGCGAGCTTTAATTTCGAGAATTTTGCGAAAACACTTTTTTTCGGCTATTAAATTTCGCGAATTTCACAAGTTTGAAATTCATTATTCACGGAATTCTCAAGCTAAATTACTAGTAGATGTACAGTAATTGCACTTACTGCATCGTTATACACCTTATATGTCCCGCGTTTGGAATTGGACTTCATGTTATCTTTTGCAATTTACACTTCATTTGCAATGATGTCATCGATATCATTATTGGGCCTACTGGTGGTACTGGGCCGAATCAGCCAACGTAAAATGGACATTACTGAAGTCCTGAAGATTGTAGATATCCAATTATCGCCCAATAACGTTTACACAAAACGAAATGCATCAGAGCCCCTGGTAATAACAAATTCTCGGGGATTTAATTGGCAAATTCGCGATGATAATTTTTCGCGATTTTAACACAATCGCGAAAAGCGCGATAGTTAATCGCACGCGAATAATACCTGGCGTACAGTATTTCATTAACAAGATACTTTTTTAAAATCAACCAAAAATTCATTTGTACAATTACAATATTGAGAGACCTAAACATGTTGTGTTTATGTCGTTTTGTTCCAATGAGGTTCGGAAAGATGTTTCATTTCACTCTGGAAACATGATACCAAGAACAATGACCATTAATGACCATTAAATTGAGGATGTGTTAAATTTTTAGATTTTTTTATGACTGGTTTAAGAGAAACGTGTGTTCAAAAAATTCTCCGTATCAATACCACTCCTTTATCATTTTATTATGATGGGTGCTTATACAAGATTAACAACATGATTTTCATGGGACCCATTATTTTTGATCCTGAAAAGGGAAACATCTCTCTTTTCATATTCTTATGAAAATAGAAGTTTTTGCATCACCGATTTCAGTTACTTCTATATTTTATCTCAAATCCTTTTCAGACATTTAATAAAATTGTAATTGACGTATTTATGAGAGGAATACATCCAAGATTTTCATTCTCTGTAATTTTCTGCTCTCTTTATACATCTTCAGAAGTTAAGTTATGTTTAATGCTCTTTTTGAACTTCAAAGCTAAAATATACAACATAAAAATGCAACTGTTTGTTTTTTAATTTGTTTGTTGCTTAGTGAGGGGATGTGACTTTTTTCATTTTTATGTTTATTAATTTCATCCACCGTACTTGGTTTATATAGATAAAATATTACAATACTTTACTTTCAATTACATTTACAATACAAATTCTGATATGATCTGTGACGTCACAATAGCGAGAACATTTGACTTACTAGTCTATATCAGAGTATGTATGACAGCTCAAATTCATAAATGCATATACAGTAGTTGTGTTTCTTGTTTGTTTATCATATTAGAGTCGTAACAAAGACCTCGATCTTATAATTTATGTCAAATATATGACAATGAACAGAATAAAAATTTTCGGTCATATATTAGGCCATAAATCATAAAATCTCAGACTTTATTCCTTAAATATGGATATATACAGCAATTTGCTAATATTCATCCAGATCAAATATCTCCCCTGCACCAAAAATTGCTCCCAAAATCAACTCCTTCGGATAATTTTGTGCCGGATAAAAGATATTATCATGTGTGAACGTGTCTCTGCTTCATTGATTTCAATTGTGGTAAATCAAATATTAGTGACATGGCAAATTTCCTTTAAATTGGGAAGCATAATAGAAAGGTTTTGCACAATGTTTTTTTTCTCAGAGTATCTAAAATCTGTAATGCAGTCACCAGATTTCACGTAGGAGTTCAATTAAAACAAGATGTGGTTGTGGATATGGTATAACCAATAAGTTGTGTGAAACCACTCTAATATGATACAGCAAAAATAATGGAAAACCACAGTAGAAACCTGTGAGGACCAGTCAATCAATGCGGATACAAAGCAATTCTATTAATCATCAGTGTTTAGTGTAATATAACATGATCATTGAAGAAAGCTATTAATCAAATTGTGAATTTTGATCATATAAATGAAAATATCACAAAAACCTAATGTTTTTATTACAAATTAATGATGACAGTCTGTTCTTTCTTCAGTGCCTTGTTATAGCTGGTATTGCTGACTATGCTAGACCCGCAGATAGACTAAGTGTTACACAGTCTACTGCATTAGCAGCTACAGGTATGTGTCAGTTTCACAATTTTTATATCACCAGCACAAGTGATGATATATTGTAAAGTTATAGTCTCCAAGTTTTTGGGCTTTGTATAAAAAACCTTCTACCTCATACCCACCTACCCACCTACGTGGAACATGATACAGTCATTGAAGGGTTCAATTTTAAAGATTATTAAATCTCAAAATAGCTCAAATTATTAACATTTCTAAAATTCCAGCTTTATTTTATGACAGATCCATAAATAAAGGCAAAGGCATATGGATGCATTTTATAGTGTAATGACCCGAGGGCGACTCAGGGGAATAAATAACTATAACGACCGCGAGCATAGGTCAAACAAGCCAGATAAAGAAATTGTAAGAAAGTGTGTTAATTTCAATGCCCCGAGTGGGAATCAAACACAGCTGGGATGTAGTAGCAACTTGCTATCAAGGGTTGTTACAAATGCATCTATAATTCATCATAAACTAAGATTTAATAAACTAAGATCTTTAAAATTGAACCCTTCAAAGACTGTATCATGTCCCACGTACGTGGGTAGGTGGGTATGAGGTAGGAAGCTTTTTATACAAAGCCAAGTTTTTGTGGACAGTGTTCAGCACTTGGGGGTTGGTGTTTGGCAGTTGGTGTTTCAGTGGTTGGTGTTTGGCACTGCTGACTGGTGTCTGTAACAAATGCCAGGTGGTGACATTTTGCATGTTAATGCCTTATATGATTATTGCATTGGTTACTCATGTTTGAGGTAGACTCTGATACACGAACAACCAATTAAATGGTATCAAGTGCACATTTATGCATATTATTTCATGTACAGTGAAACTTGTCTTAGTGAACACCTGTCTCTAGTGGACACCCTTCCTCCGGACTAACTCTACTAACTTCCGTTTAAATTACCCTCTGTAATGAACACCTACCTACAGTGAACACATTTTTGTGGCTCAATAGGTGTTCACTGTACACAGGTTTTACTGTACTGTATGTATGATTTTCTAAAAATAATCCCCTTTATATGAAGCAATAATCAAAAGTCATAATTCATACGTGCATTTATTTAGAGGGGCTTTTAATTTGTTGGCCAGCATTAGTAAATAAAAAGTGTTGACAAAGAAGTATTTTGAAGCAAATATATTAAACTGGCAATGAGCATTCCACTCTTTCTATTGAATAAAAGATTAAGTTATGTAAGGCCAATCTGAACGTCAACTGCAATAATTGCAGCACTAGCCTCGCCTAATGTAATTAAATGTGTTTGAGGAAGTATGTATATCGCAATATTGATCTTGTTATTTTCTTGTTTCAGGGATGATATGGTCCAGGTATTCCATGGTGATCATCCCTAAGAACTGGAATTTATTTAGCGTCAACATATTTCTAGGAATAACTGGCTTAGGACAATTATTTAGGATTTGGCAGTAAGTTAATGTACCTGTTAACTATTTGACATGTCAGGCCCGTAGCCAGGATGGGTTCGGGCAAGCCCTCCCCCTTCCCGCCAAAAATTCTTTCAAAATCATGCAGTTCTTCACCAATCCATTCTGAGCACTTTTTAAGTGAGTTTGGCCATTTTTGGCCAAAATTGTTAAAAGTGAACCCCCTGGAATTTTTTAAAAAGGGAACCCCCCTTGGCAAATCCTGGCTATGGGCCTGCATGTGGCACGGGCGTAGCCAGGCACATTTTTACAGAAAAATATGAACTCAGAACTGTAAAAATGAAGTCTCAAGAAAGTGTTATTTTCTCATTACTCAAAGTTCCCTCATCAATTCAAATCTGCCTCCCATATATTTGGATCCTGGCTACGCCCCTGTGTAGAAAAAGTTAATACAAAGTGATGCATTGAAGCAATAGAAAATATGGCCATTTAGTAATGAATAGACAGTATGGACTTATTTTTGTCACTAAAGCCAAGTCGATTTGACTCCCTATCTTTCAATTTATATTTTATTTAAAAACTACATAACAGATTTCATATAAATTTATGGAAGGGCTTCCTTCCTTGACAATGTCATAATACCATCTATAAAAGTTAGTTCTATTACTAGGCTTAAGGCATTATCTATTAAATCAAATTCACACACTACCCTCATCAATTTCATAAGATCATGTATAAGTAGCATCATAAATTACAAGGTGGGTGTAAGCAGGTCAAAATGTCATTAGGCCAAACCTTGCAAAACCCTTGCTTAAAAGTTTCTCGTTGAATTTCATTCTTTTAGTGATACTTTACAAAATCTTTAACAATGTGTGAAAAGAATTAAGCACAAGATTCAATGAATTGTGGGTGATTTGATGATTTGCACTTATGTCTTGTTTTCTAGCCTTTGATTTCAGGCTACCAACCTCATTCATAGTATTGATACAAAGTCTTGGTACATAAAATCATCCACAATATAAGATTTGTTACATAGCTTTTAAATCTCAATGAATTTTTAAGATCAGGCTAAATTCCCATTGACACAATGTTAATATTTTAAGTTGCTTAATTCTAATACCCATCTGGAAGTATTTTGATAAATCAAGGAATGAAGTAACTTTTGTCAGTTTTCTAACTACATTGTCATTCTATATTATGTAATTGTATTGTATTGTATTGACATCGATTTCGTTCATTTATATAGCAAGTCATCTATTAATATCACAAAATGTCGTTATGGGAAATTGTTACAGAAAGGTACACATTCTAGATTCTGCATTTGAGGATTCTCCTTCACTGAGACGTCTACGTGGAATAATGTCGTTATATTCATTGTTGCATTCATTATTGTGTTCATCACTCTGAACAAGTTGTTCATTCTTGTTGTATTCATCATCGCACATTATTGTCTGTTCAGGTTTTGGTAAAATGTCAAGCACGTCCTGACTGTGACCTAGATCCCTAGCTGCTTCATACAGTGACTGTGGCTTGACTGGTTTATTCCATTGTGATTGGTATGATATGTCCTTTGTAATGGAATCTAAGTCAAGTGATTGGTCCATTAAGAGTGCATACATTTTGTCAACATCCCCTGCTAATGTAGCATGAATGAAACAATTGCTGTGAACGTTCTTTTCTAATGTTTTCACAACTTTAGCACTGATAGTTACAATGTCAAATTTGCTGGCTTTTATCGATTTTCTTTTTGCCAAATTGATCAAAGTCTCATCGTTTTGTGACGTCTCAATCTTGCACCATGATTGGATAAGGCTTGCGACTAGTGTGCCATTATTTCTACTCACAGATTCCCAAAGTCCTGGATGAAACTTCATGAACCAATGTAATATTTCAATTTGAAATGGTCCAGTTGAATCTTCAATTATTGCCTTATAGTTATCATCGACAGGACTTGCGCCACATCGCAACAATGCAATCATAAGTTCCAATAGCAGCTTCTCAATTGAGAATCGCAGTGCTGTCTGTCCTTTATAGTCTTTTAAGCTTAGATCTATCCCAGCATCAGCCAATTGGTAAACCATTGGCACAAAGTCATGTTCATTGGTTTGGTCAGCCTCAAATGTTATCAGATGAATGAAACCTTGGTTGAATTCTTCATCTTTTTTATTGACATCTTCACCTGTTTTAATGGCCTCCAACACAGCAGTGTGATTGTGCGACTTAATTGCCTTATAAATGGCACTTTTGTGAAAATTGTGGAATTGTGTTAAATTGTTATTAAATTCAAGTTCAAATTCCTCCTCGCCCCTACTCATTTTGAATTGTTGTTCGGTTCAAATTTGTGTTCATTTAATTGTCCATGTCTCTCGTATGACACTTTCATACATCCATTGGTTTTAATTAATTTTCTGTTTCTGTGTAGTTAGAGTCACTTCATATATCAGAATGCCCTTCAGTTTCATTGAGAAGTAATATTTATACTATTATTTATACACAATTGTAATAACGCAGGAAAACACATGTACACCATGTGCTTTTCATTCAAACTTCCTTTCTCCACATACTTATTCTTATTAGATGTGACAAGTGGCAGCTATTGTGTTTCTATTATGGTTGTAGTCAACATCACTTATGTTAATGTCACATGTTTTCCATGTGCTAATGTCACTGTAGTTTACACATATTCTTTCAAGATCTATGTGTCATTAGCAATCTGTCGCAGTCTAACTTCCGTTTACCTTGAATAGAATGAATTACTAATAGAAATTAATTATTCATAGTGTTTCATAATGATATATATTCACATGTTAACAATGTGCTTTTTGTTTTCTGTGGATTTATGATGATGATCACGATGTTATGAAGAAAAAGATACAGAAGATAATTGTGGAAATATGAAATATGAACTGAACCCCGCTTGGAAAAAACTGACTATTGGCCAGCATTTCTCACATGCTGTTGCTTGTATCACATGAAATGTAATCATGATATTTCTTTTCAGGCAGTTATGCTGACTAATTACCATGGTTCTCATATCAAATTCCTATGCATAGTAAATCCTGTATATATCAAAACACCTCTCAATATGAACACTCTCCCATTGATTCATTTACAAAACACCTTGAAACTTGAACACCTGCTAATCTGACACCACTTATGGCTGGTCTCAGAGATGTTTGGATTAGACAGGTTAATTGTATATAGTTTTCCCCTTAACCTCTTGAATACCCAGAGTGACGGATATATCCGTCACAAATGAAATAAGACTGGTGCCCAGAGGGACGAGGAAATCCGTCACAAAATTTTCACAAAAATTGCTCTCATTTGAACAATTTTCATCCAATTTACACAAAAATTGTTTTAAAACGTGTAGAAATGATCTCTGTCGTCCAATTTTACTAAGCTGAGCATCTAAAGTTGTATAGGTATGTAATAAAATGTCAAAAGGTGGCAAAAAATGAAAAATTCTCTGGTTTCATGCCAATTTTAGAGCCTGGGATTCAAGAGGTTAAAGACCTTCACTTAGTTAAGCACACTAAAAGATGGAATGGTAATTTAGACTTTTACCTTTGCGTTTTATCTTGATGCTGTTCTTATATTTCTCTATAGATCTTATATTAAAGGAAGAATCAGATCTTCTGAGCAGCAAACAAAACAAAAATTCTTCAATTTTTGAATATTCTGGGCTCATTTCATTCCCAGTGTAATGCTTATTTCCTAAAAGTGCAGACTTGATTTCAGGGAAACTAAAGAATGTATTACAAGAATGTATTATTTTTCTATAGATATGGTTCCCATATTTATTATTTGGGAGAATTTAAACACTTTCCCCCATTTTTGCACTTTGAATCCTTAGTAACTTCACCAATTTATGACGTATTGGTGATCATTTGGGAGATTTTGTATTTGAGGTAGTAAGGAATAGATTGGAATTCAACTGTGCATGTTTTTTGCAATTTTGTCAACTCCTCTAGATCTGATTCTGCCTTTAAAGTGACACTCAACATTCAAAATGTATGTACATGTATATATAAGAGGGTTTGGTCTTTGTTTATGGCTTTGATTTAGCTATGTAAAATATGTTGTTATTTAGTTAAGAGAACCAGAGGGAAAAATCTTAAATTATTTATACATCCTGTTTCATCTATAATTAGGGGTGGGACGGATAACCGAAATACTGAAAAAACGCGGTTCATAGCCTTCGGAGCGGTTTTCGGATCACAGCCCTACTTTCGGATCAGCTTTTCGGATCGTTTTCGGATTAATATTTCATTGGTCAAGTATCAATAAAACAGTTAAAAACACTGTTTTACAGCAACATTTTTGATATTCCTAGTCCCTACCTTGTCTGTCTTGTCTGTTGCTAGCTCACTCGTTTACTAGATTCATTTCGTATCCGCATTTTCGTATCCCTCGTTAATCAATCATGTGGTCCCTGGTACTATATTCTTTAGTCGTGTATTCTAAATAATATGTATTGTTCATGAAATACTATTACATAAAATTCCATCTATAAATTATTGTTATAACGTGGCATAATTGATACAAAGATTTGCGCAAATTTATATTTGCGCAGGTTCGATATAGGGTATTATTTTGTGCGCGTTCTTTTGGGTATTCCGGCGACATCGGTCCCGAGTGAAAGGGTTCTCGACGGCTGGTGACATTGTAACAGCCCAAAGGGCCCAATTGAAACCAGAAGCAGTGGACATATTAGTTTTTCTAAAGAAAAACATGAAAGTGTAAACTCACTAAACTTACACAATCATGACTTCCTCTGTAAAAAACGCATCACAGAATAAAGGTTTCTACAAGCATAAATTAGTTATTTTATTGGTTGTATTAAAAGAAAGTGACAGTCAGCAGTGAAGTCAGAGACAAAGCAGCTAATTATGTCAATCAATACTAATCCTTAAAATGAATGAACCGAACCGAAAAAACTGAACCGACGGCTGATGATCCGAAAAACCGAACTGAGCCGAAACGAACCGTCCCATCCCTATCTATAATATTACATTCATGTTCATTTTAACATGTACCTTATACTTATACTGAAATGTACCATCTGCCTCATAGAGTTGCCTTCAATGTATTTGTGGATTGTTACATCGAATCAGTAGATTTTCATTAGTGGTTGATATCTCTCTGCTATTTTTGATCTAATTGAATTCCTTTGTTTTTACCAATGGCTTTTTGAAAGTCTCTTCTTAACCAATATATTGCCTGTGTAGCATGTAGTTACTCTTGATTTCCGTTTTCCTTTTCACTTTTCTCCGTTGATAGTTTCACTGCCTCACTGTAGTTAATAGTGGTTTATGCGGTACATACTTTTAAGCCTATTTGAATTTGCCATAAATTGGGTATAGCACAATGCAAATATTCAAACATAAATCTATTATTCTCTGAGCCAAGTAAGTAGTCATTTCAATAGAGAGTAAACGTGTGTGTAAGTGCTTTTATGAAGCACTTTGTCATTACTAGATTTCTCAAGGCTAGCTTTTGCTTGTACATCTACTGTACATGCTAGGGTATATCCATGAATTCTCAATCATAATGTCTCTAAAATATTTATTTTTAATATCTTGTATCCTGTATACAAACATTTTTTTACAATTTGGTGATCTCTGTTAAATTCTACTTCAGTTATGGTTGCTATGGTAACACAGACAATGGTACCTGGAGCAGCTCTAATTCTGCTGTTAAAAGTTTTTATTGATATATTATCCTTTTAGTTGACCAAATGAGGGTCAAAAGAATGAAGCTATTTGTCCCTGGGTTTGAATATACCATTAAACTGTCAGGAATGAGGATATTAGAAAATCATGGAAGTCTGCCAGTTGCAAAGCTGATTGATTAATGCTTTCATGAACGGGCGCTATTTTTGACATTTTTAGTCTAAAATGTTTTTATAAGAAAAAAGTTTTGATTTTTGAAGATTTATGAATTTAGAATTTCATCATGTGACTTCTAAATTAGACCGTTAAAAATAATAGGCAGTGTAAAACTGAACAGTTTTCTTTTGAATGTACAAAAGCTATATCTACGTTATAACTTGAATGTCCAAGAGAAGTTGTTTTGTTGATCTAAAAAACTTTTAATTTAACTAGAGATAAAAGTCAATAAGTTGCCCTTATTCTGAGGAGCCCCGATGAATGAAGTTCTTATGTTTATGTATTTCCAGATATCGCCAGAATCTTGCTAAAGAGGAAGCCTTGGCTGCTGAAGTCGATTAACAAATGGCACAAATTTAGACTTAAAAGGAATATTGGATACAAATCTATGGATATTTAATATTAGATATAATATATACATTAAACACTAGATACAGATTAAGAAATAATAGATTCAAATATTGATTTGAAAGAGATTCAGAGAAATAACATCAGGTATAAATATAGCAATATTTCACATACATTTTGGATACTTCAGGGATGTTTTATGTTGATGACAATCAAGTCAATCATAGCAACATAAACATTGGATAACAATCACTTTTAAATGATTTTTATAGGGAAATAGCTGCCATGTCAATGTGTATATTTATTCCATACAAGCCAGGCATAGTACATGTGCACATGTCTTAAGCTAAAGGTGGGTGCCTTAAGGAATCTCCAGAAATAAGTAGGCTCCCTAAGTAGAAAAAGAACCAAGTGGGTGAAATAATGAATGTTCAGTGAAAATTATCCCTGTAACAGTATTTGATTGGTAAATGCACAAGAATTAAGAATTAATTTTAATACGGGTAATCTGGGTCCATTTTGGAGGGTTTCCTTGTATTTTAATATTTCTTACCAGACAAACTCAAATTAATTTCATTTTCTTCACTACAATATTTGCAAAAGTTTGGTGTTTTTTAAATTTTATATTTAGTAATGTAATTTATTTTTTCCTCTTTATTTGACAATTGTCGTCACCATGAGCAAACTAATCAGTCGCATATTAATTGTTACATTAGTTTGTTTCCACTGGCCTATTGGACTTGCTTTTCTAGTAATAACACTGAGATGCAAGCCTAGCAGGTATTTTAAATTTATAAAAGATATTAGTCTATAAGTAAAATTGTTTTTCATTTTGGAACAATCATAAGAATGGTGATATTTTAGGGTATCATTTTATTTATAGCTCAATGTAAATAAATAGAACAAAACAAATCTATATCATATTTTGTTTTTCTATTACAAAAAATCTGCAGTGTTCTATTACAACCTACCATTCACAAGATTTCACATTGTACATGTACAATATCATAATTTTTAAGTGCTTTTGTACAATAGACTCACATTGCAAAAAATGTTTTTAACATCACATTGACAACACGTGTCATTCTGTGTGGGTCATTTTCAGGTGTTGACCAGAGGCAACTTCTATAAAAGGACATTCCCTTTCCATTTCAAAGCTTAATGACTTTTTAACACATCAACTAGTCTAAGGAGCTTTATTAGCCTTGCCTAAGTCTGTATTTCTTTCACTTAATCTTCAATTGAAGTAAATGTAAAAAAAATAAATAAAAAACTCTGACTGAGGCAAGGCAAGAGCTTTAGGGGAGGGTGCTAAAAAGCCATAATAGAAAAATAGCAAATTGAGTGGATGATACTGTGAGAGCGCTCAATAGGAGGCTTGCTGAATTAACATGTCGTTAACATGTTGCTTAAGAAAACATTGACATTTCGATACAGCCCCCAAAATATCCCAAGCTTCACCTCTCAACAATCTGTAAATATGGCCATCTTAACTTCCCCATATCACATCACATTTATCAAAGTTTGACATATCACATCAAATATTCACAATCCTCTCAACAACATTATTTACATGGACACACAAATAAATTATATATAAGCAAAAATCGCTTGGCTCAGATATCAAAGATGATATATCAGTACTATCAAAATTAAATACAGAGATATAAATTGTAGACATATTATTTGATTTGACATAGAATGCTTTGATTCATCCACATTTCTACTTCAATAAATAACCTAAAAGACAGAATGCCGATTATAAAACAATTAACGAGTGTTCACTTAAAGTGAATTCTGTGTTTTAGTAATGATATATCTTGAGTATTAAGAATATTCATGGCATTGATTACTATGACACAAAATTGAGATCCTTCTTACAACCCTATGGGTAACACATCATATTATTGAGCTATCATGGGTTGTATACTTGGGTTATCTAGCCAAGATACTTGACCTTGGGAGAGTCATCTTTTTCGGCAACAGGGTGCAATATGAGATATTGTGATCTAGAGTCAGTTTATTGTAGCCTGAAATTCATATGGTAACTGGTCCACAATTCATGTTTAACCCTGAAAGGTCTGAAATCTTGATGACTCCACCTGTCAGCTAGCCAATGAGAGACTTGGGAGTATACATCCCCTGATAGTACGATCACTGATAAAAACATACAAAGTGTAAAATACTTGGATAGTTCTTGAACCCAAATGTGCACAAAAATATGTATAAATTATTTAAAACATTGCTATATCATTAAGTACAGTAAACCCTGTTTGAGGGGACACCTCTGTCAAGACCACATCTCAACATTACTTTTTCAAACTGCAAGTCCCATTGGCATACATGTGATTTCTCTCTGTAAAGTACCTATCTACAAAGAACAACAATATTGGCCAATATGAGAGAGTACCCCGTAATACACATAGAGTTTAACTGTACAATGATTTCAATAGTGAATACACTTTAGGTATGTATGCTACTGCTCACATTATACACATGCATTTATATACAACAACATAATTGGAATAAAATTTTCTGCTCTAACTACAGCTATGCTTTATACAGAAAGCAATGAATATTTGGATGATGCTGATTGGTTGAGCAACATCAAATCTGATTGGATATCACATCATCATCATGAAACATGTGTTCTAAATATATGCAATATTTTCGATACTTATCTTCACATTTTTTGTGATTCAAATATCAATGCATGCAACCCAAGTGCTAGAAAGAACATACATCATTAAAGCTTTGAAGGTTAAACTACTTTCTCACTGTAAAGAGAAATTGAGACTTGCGATACAGCATCTCATTTTTCATTTCATTACAACATGATATACACTCATAAGTGCATTACAATGTGATATACACCCTTCCATCGAAAGTCTGCATCTTTGAAAGTCCCAAAGATCATCAAAATTTAGGATACATGAAATACCCCAAAGATCCTCAAAATTCCCCAAGAACATTGAAAGTTCCAAACTTCATCAAAACTTCAGGAGAACACTGAAAGGCCCAAACATCAAAAATGTTTGTTCTTCCATTGAAATTCAACATCTTTGAATGTTTCAAAGATCATCAGAAGTCCAGGAGGACAGTTCGAAAGTCAGAATATCAGTCTTGGTGAACATCGAAAGTTGTTCTGATTGTCGATGTTAAGATTGTCTGCTGAGACTCTTGTTGTACATCTAGTCGCCCCACACCATGATCACCTTATTGAAGGCCACAAATACACCTTTATTAGGCTTGCTGCAAACAATAAATTAAGAGAAATTCAGAAATTACAAGAGTCTAAATACATTAAATTAATAGTGGACTTTTCCACGTGCACCTTCATTGATGATTTTTAAATGCAATTGACTTGAAGTCTACGGAATACTTGTGCTATGAAAATTGGTCGGTATATCAAGCCATTTAAACGTTGAAAGTTGGAAAAGGTTTGAACAAAAGATAATGGAGCAATTATTTTATGCTCACCAGATATATATGTATGGCATTAAATCATTTTTGTACCATGAATTCATGAACATTCTGAAAAATCCATATATACCAGTATAACAGGTACAATGCATTTGAAACATCTAGAACTATTGTTCCAAAAATTATTTTTAGTGCTTGTACTTACCATTTGAAGTATCTTTGTCCTTCATATGTCCCATCATGTTTTGAATCTACAATATAATAAATAGTCTAGTACTTTAAAATGGACACAGCATCATCTATGTAATATTTCAATATTTACATTTAATATAAATACAGAATTACAGGGCTTATATCAAGAACATGTATTACCCCTTACCCTTTTCTGATACCACCTATGATTTTTTAAAAACACAATGGTAGAGATAATGAAATATATAATGAACAGCTTTACAACAGACAATGGTCTATTTGCTCTACATGTACGAGGGGTGATCCAAAAGTCTTGGACGCCCTGCTCTAATTTTGTTTGTTTTTGATAAAATTACTTTAAACTTTCCAATAATAAAGACCAACAACCTAACTACTTTGTGTATTAATTTGTAGGTATAGAGATCTTGCAGCTTTGTAAATTATTTCTTTGCAACATACCTCCATGTTCTAATTCTACTCCAAGGTACGCATCATTTTTTCCATGCAGATGTCCAATGTATTTAACAGCCCCTCTGCTCACTCTACCACCATTTCGAGTAAATTTGATGATGTCACCAATGTTACAATCAGCTGGACTACGCGGGGCAAAAGGTCTCCTGCCTTTGATATCAAATTTCCCTTCCCTGAAAATTAAAGATAATGAAAGTATAAGCATAATATATGAAGAGCGAAAATGTATTTTTGATATCCTTTGTTAAGCCTCTTCAGCTGCAATATCAAGTCTTATAGCACGAGCATGAAATTGATTAAAAGTGATGCTTAAATCGTGTAAAACATTACTTTAATATAGATTAACACGTGTCAAAGGAACTGCAGAGAACACAGCTGATTTAACATCAATCTCTTTTCACGTGGCCCTGCAGCAGATAAATCAAATCTCACATCCACAGAATTCAGGATAAGTGACTTATAATAATGGCCTATTACTCTTAGCTGTCTAAACCATTTCACTGGATTTGCACTATGTCTGCTATTTTTCAATAACATAATAACATCAGAAACCATTAAAGACAACTGAAATAGCTTTTCTCAACTTGCAGCTACAAAAATGCGGTTTTCTCCATTGTTAGCCCAACGTAGAGTTCTTGCGATAGCCATAATAAAATAAATGTTAGATAACTGCTAATAGTCATAGTTAACGAAATAAAACTAACTGATCAATCAAATTGACCCCAACGTGATTAGTAACATCATATGCAAAATATAGCTTTGGTTTATTGCTCCTTAGTAATCACAATGTCACGGCAACCATAGGATTGTTGTGTAAACAAATAACAAAACATTTTGGCATTATGACGTCATGATCTAATGGACCAAAATGGGCCACGTGGGGACCAGTGAGAGATCACTTGGGGGCCAATAACGTCACAACCAATTCGAATATTGCTTATTAAGCAGCTATAACGATCGTTAGAGTGAAATAATTTTCACACTACTGATGAGAAAACATGTCCAAATACATTTATCAAAAAAATTATATTGATTCCTTTAGGTTAAAAATACCATTTCATATCTGCTTTAATGTAGTAATATGCCAATTTTGCCATATAATCAGCAGCAGATAGAATCAAATGGTGTTTAATAAAATATTACATTGATGCTAGCTGCACCACGAGATGAAACAGAAGGAAGTTAGTAACAATCGTAAGAACATGATCTAGTCAAGATCTTTCTAAAAGAATGGCTAAAAAGATTTGGCATTAACTTACATCTGTGGTCCTAGGAGGTCTTTATTATGCTGTGTGACGAGAGGGGGAGGGCTAACACTACGGAATCCAGAGTTGAGAAGTCTAGGATCTCTGGGTGATCGTGGAGGGGATCCACTTCTTCGTCCGTATGCTGTAGATGCTGCAACAGCAATGTGCATGGAGTTTAAATTCATTGAAATATTTGCAATGTAAAACAGTAATCTCTTAAGTGTTGTAAGTTGAGAGTGTTGAAAATTATGAAAAATGTAGATATCTTTTCACATTTTCTAGCCAGATGAATCATTGAACAACACTGAAATAATATCCATTTGTTATAGTAAGTCTTTTAAAATATGATTCTACAATCAGAATTCATTATTGCTGTTTACTAATCAATTACTTCAAATGACTTATTTATTTAATTAACTTGGCCATAATTGACCCAATAACATAAACCATGGGGTTTCTAGAGATCTAGAAAATCCAGGTATAATACATAGTATTAAATCAACGCAAATTTTTTCGTTAAAATATATCCTAAATCTCACCATTATATTCCTCTATATGTCGTCTTCCACCAGACAATTCTAACTCATCTTCAACTTCATCCAAGATTGAGTTAGTGGAACCAGTTCCTGTACTGAGGCGTCTGCTTCTTTCCCGCCGATTTTCCACAAGGTGAAGGTCATCAAGATCATTCATCATAGGGTCAAGGTCATCATCATATCTATTTCCTATGAATTAAAATTCAATAAAACATTTAATGATAAAACATCATTTTGGATAAAACGTACAAATACAATATATTATTTTGTTACACATTTATGAGACAACATAAGGTCTATTGTTACATAAAATACTATACTAGGTGATCCTTATGTAATACAATGAAATCATGTTTCACAAAAGAAATCTTGTGATTCACATGTACAATTTCATAGTTCCACATCTCAATTTCAAAGAAGTACTAGAATGACCACAAATATTTTAAGAATGAGTACTTAAGAGAACAAAAACAATTTTATCTACAGACAGTACCTTTGTCAGAATGTAGTCCATTTTGGACGTGACTGGTAGAAGAGATAAGTTGTTTAGGACGATATTGAGAGGGAGGCAGGGTTGCAAGCATGATAGTGGTATCACTAGTGTCAGAACGTGCTGGACTAGGAGAACGATGTTGACCTATATAAAAAAGTAAACATGCTAAAACTACACCAAACAAAAATTATAGACACTATTTTTCCTTGCAACATTTTGATTTTTGTGTTAAGAACCAACATATGTACATGTATAATTATATTCAAGTGACAAAATATTGCAAGAAAGGTACCGTAATATGCATTCTTGTTCATAATGATTTTAAACAAGTCAAATTTGTTTCCATTCAAGAACTGTCAAGTCTAAATCACTATGAGCAAGGTGCTTGTAGCGTCAAATAAAAGCACTATAAATACTTTTTACATCTATTTCTATATAAAAGGGAACAACAAATGATAGAAAACATTTTCGAAACTTACTCACAGTAGCTCTTGACCCCTATTTGCTTGAGAACCCAATTTCATATTTCATTTCTACTTTATTTGGTAATAATTCTGACCTGAACAAAAGTGATATACCCTCGAAGCCTTTCTACTACATCGATATTTCCATATTTGATGGAATCTCATTTTTTCAGAAATCAATTTTGGTTGTAGGGGGACACATTAACATGTTTATCAAAAATACTGCTTCAAACATTCTTTATCCTTTGATTCCACGTTAACTCTAATGTTTTGTAAGAAGAACAGACTGTAAAACTATATCAAAATTAGTGGATCCTCAAAACAAGGTAACAAAATATCAATTCTTCTTCTTATTCAAAAATAAAAGTAGAAACATAGAAAAAGTGAATTACTTTTGTTGCTATTAACGCATCCATGTACATTAATGATCAGAAAATAAAATAACTCAAATATGAAAACAATATATTCATCAAATATTTACTTCTATCGACAATCCAACATATCAATATCTTTTGGGACTATTAATGTATATGGAATTGATTAGAAATACACTTTTGGTGTCAAAAGAAAAAGCTTAATAAAATAAAAAATACCTACTATTATGTGATAAATATTGCACTAAGAGAGGTGAAGATTGATAGAGATCATATGGCATGTTTCTATGGTGAGTATTGTAGTCAGAGAGAATATGGCTGCCATGGTTATTGTGATTGCCATAGCTAGAGTTGTTACTATAGTTACTGGTGAAATCACTCAGACTGACAGAATCAAGATCTAGGTCTGGAAAATAGGTGCCACACACGAATGAAACATCGTTAATCCACACATAAATGTATTAGTATTTTCTGTATAATAAGCGATGGTATATGAACACATTTGCTGAAACTGCATTTGGTAACATTTAAAAGGTTTAAAAGAATTACCAAATGCAATGACCTTGTGAGAGCAAAATAGATTCCTGTGAAATGATGAAATTAAAATAATTAGAAGCATAGAAAGGAAAAATGAAATATTCTTTTGATTAAAATGACCAAATGTAGCGGCCATGTGAAAGCAGAACAAATCTTGTGAAATGATGAAATTAAAATGATTTGAAGCAAAGAAAAGCAAGATGAAATGTTGTTTTGATTATAAGCTTGTGTCTTTCAACCAAAATTTCCTATGACATACCATGAAGACGTTTATATGCTGCACTCCGCAGTGAGGAATAATCAGCATTGTGACTGGGTGATGATTTGCGGAGATTATATTGAGATAAGTTTGATCGGGAACTAGGGGAAAACTCTGTAAAGGTCATAATGAGAATTATGTGTTGACGATTGAATTAAAGATGTCATATGGTTATATTTAATCTATGTTTTTCCCTAAAGGAAATTGAATGGATATATGGCAAATCTGTCATGATTTTTCATTGTTATCATTTCTTATTCATTCTATTCATTTAACCCATGTACAATATTGGCATTCTATTTATGGATTTGATGAGAGACATTTTATGTAAACCACTAGTACTGAGACGCTGTCTTAGCTATATCTTAGTTATTGATTATTTGCATCTGTCTAATTACAGAGGCAAAATCAAAATAAAACACAGATTCGACATTGACCAATATGACATCTTTAAGGAAAATATTTTGAAAATAATATTTACTTTTGCTCTCTACACAGAAGTATCTGAATATGATAATAAATATGAATAATGGGGTTCTATGCCCCGGTTCTATGCTAGCAATTGTAAAAACCATTCCATTCCATTCCAAAATATATTCATCCAGACAACAATGTACAAACATGCAAACAAACAAAAGTCAAACAAAATACTGTACAGTAAATAGTTCTGCTATACTAATTGAAAATCATAAACTCTGAAACATTTTGTATTAACTAACTACTGAAACCTTCATAAAATAGAGTTTCAGAATCCATAAGGTAGTTTATTTCTGGGCCGATCAATCCATTTTATTATTAGAAAAATTAAAGGCAGAATCAGATGTAACAAGCAACATATTCCCCCAAAAAATTACAATTTGAGGATATTTTTCATTCATGCTTTTATATATTTTCTAATACTTAGCTTCAGGTAAACTGATTTTCACATTTATGTTCATTTTTTTTCGATAATGTGGATCCACATTTATCTTCTTTTCTTCTTTATTTCAATTTATACATTCAAATACATAATACATAGACTGGCAAAGTTAAAAACATTGGTGGCAGTTTTAGCTTATTTATCATTTGCAAGAATACAAATATTCTTGCGCCTTGAATAGTTTCACTAATTGATAACATACCATGGACCTTTTCGGAAATAATATATTTGAGATGGTAAAGAATACATTGCTAGGTCAATTAAACATTTTCCTTGAAATCATGTCACCCCTATATCTGATTCTGCCTTTAAATAATTTTTTTCTTTAAGAAAAAATAGTCATTCAACACACATAACTACTGTATACATGTAGCAACAAGATTTTGGTTCTTCATACTTATTCTGAACAAAATATAAAAATTTAGTGTGGAATTAACAATTTTCAGTGAAAGTTTTCACATAATTTCAGAATTTTTGTTGAGTTGAATGTTTAAATATTTCATGCAGAATATTCCAAAGAACAGGAGAACAAACATTGTTGAGTGTGTATGACCATTTAAGCTTACCATCGTGAGTAAATGCCTCATGACGTGGTGAGCGGAATTTTCGTGAATGTGCAGGTGGAGTGGGAGCATACTGTATGTGTGTTTCATAAGTAAAATCACGTGACAAACTCTCTGTAATTTATACATACATTAACAATCAAAACAAACACAAATATTACATGCAGGTGAGCCAAATATTATACTGATCAGTGGGCATGTCTATTTTCAACTATTTTTATTCATAAAAAGTTTTTTTTGTGACATTTAACTCCTTTCCTTTTCGTCTCATATTCAACCACAAAATACCATGCCCACTGACCATCATGAATTATTTTATAATATGCAAATAACATTTAGAATATCACACATTTGAAAGATAAGGAACGGAATATTCCACAACACACAAGTGACAATGTGAACATGTCTTAATGAATGCAAACAAAGAATCAAAACTCAAAAACACAGACAGTTAAGTTACATTAAAATGTTAAACATTCTAAAAATCAACATGCAGACTTACCAGATCTTTTTGATGACATAGAATTTCTAGTTCCAGGCGAATGCCGCAATAATCGGTTATCTGAAACATCCATCTTCTTTTCTCTGAAATTATCTGCTGTTCCATTATACATTTCGCTACGATCGAATCTTTCCTCTTTTCTTGAGTAGCTAGTATCTCTCGTTGAGTTGAAGTTTTTGTTTGTGTTCACTTTAGGTAATGTGTCAGTTTTACTTCTTTCTGTGGTCCGCTTATTATCATATAATATCTCCCTTAATCTGTAAAGTAAATATAACTTTACCACATATATACAAAGCATTTCTCAATCAACTTAACTTATTCATTGATGCAGGCTTTGTAAAATTGTGACCATGTTAAGCCTCAATCAATCATGCTAGCAAGCATTGACTGATGACAAGCATTTGTATGCCCAAAGTGTCAGAATCCAGTACAGTAAAACATGTATATGCGAACCCTATTCTTATTTGAACATATCATGATGTGAAAACTTTTTTACAATCCCATATAGTGATATACCATTGATGATGTCAAAAAACATTGAAATGTGAACATTTGCTAGTCCTGAGAAGCACTTTACTGTACATTGGATAGAGATTGGTTCTCTTTGAGGACAAAATTCACAATATTGGAAAAGGTAATGTTAATAACATACTTAATTAAATCCTGAACATTCTATCCCATTAGCCAATAATTACCTTATGTTGTCCTCATTGAGTTGATATGTCTGCTCTCTCATAGATCGCAATTCATCACGCAGATGTTGGATCTCATCGTGCAATCTTACATCTCCCATCTGAGATTTCTCCAGATTTTCAATCTGAAACAAGCACAACAAGGCATTAACATGCAAAATATCACCACCTTCCCTTTGTTACATATGCCAACTACCAAACACCAATTACGAAACACCAATTACCGAACAGTGTCCACGATAATGCTGGAGTGGTGACATAAAAATTATCATTTGAACTAAATAAGAGTATGACCTGGATATAAGACAATCAAGATCATATCAATATATTTTAATTTCTAGTTGATCAAATTCGATTTCCTCTTTTCAAACTCATTAGTCTGGGGAAATGTTGATGTGTAGATATCTGATAGATATGTAAAGATAGATGTGCAATGGACACAATATTCAACGTAAAAATAAAGTACTCAGTGGAATGGAAGAAAAGCAGTCTTTGATCCTACCTGCTCTCGAAGTTTTTTATTTTCTATATGTGCCTCCTGTAAATCACGTCCCAAACTGACATCATTTCCAGTGTCTTGTAGTCTCTTCTCAGCGGATGCTAGACTGGTGACGGCAGTCTCGTGGGCTTCTTGTAGGTCCTTCAGTTGGTCTGTTAGGTCATCTGAAGTAGCATACAATTCAAATATTTGGGTGCAAGTACACTCCAGTGTGACATAAGCCTAGGTCAAAAGTGGACCATTTGTCTTGTTATTTCCAACATATAGCGAAGTAATCTGCTGGCATATGAAGATAAAGTAACTGTTCCAGGCTTTTTGGCAAGCACTTTTGTCTCATCTTGTATGTGATTTTGTTACTGATATAAAGAAACAACGACCTAAATGAAGTACATATATATTGGCCAACCTTGTAAAAATCTTACTTCTTGATTTTTAACACCAAGTAATCGTACGAATCATTTATGACCAAGCCTGATCTTAATACAGTGTACCTATTCATTAAACCACAAAAGCTTTGTGAGCTACAGGTGCAGGCCCGTAAGACACTTTTCTCCAAGGGGGGTGCGGTTTTTACTAAAGAGAATATAAAATTGTCATTTTTTGCCGCGTAAATCAAATCGCGTAAGTCAGAGGGGGGGGGGGTTCGGTTACTCCCTACATTGGTGATTTCTGGGCACTTTTAAAGTGTTTAGAATTAACAAATGCAACTTCCAAACGTTCCAATTGTTTTGTGGGGGGGGGGGGGGGTGAGGAGTGGTGCACTCCCCCAGAAAATTTTACAGTTTTGAGATGCTATTTGGTGCTTTCTGGGCACTTTCAAAGTGTTTGAGTCAATAAGACATTTTTTTCAAATTCTTTTTTTGGGGGGGGGGGGTGTCAAAGAGGATGAGAGGGTGAAGTGGGGTGGGGTGCCAGAGGGAGAGCACGGGGTTGTCCCCCAGAAACATTGACCATATCAAGGTGCTATTTGATGATGTCTGGGCACTTAAAAAATGTCTGAGACTATTCATGAAATTCAGAATATTTTCTTTTGTTTTGTGGGGGATGTGAGGGGTGGCTAACTCTCCTAGAAAATTTTACAATTTAAAGATGATATTTGGTGCTTCTGGGCGCTTTTAAAGTGTATTAGTCGATAAAAACATTGAAAAAAACAATCACAATTTCTTTCAAATTTTGGGGGTGTCAAAGGGGGGAGGGAGGGGTGCCAGAGGGGGAGGTGGGGTTGGGGTGCCAGAGGGGGAGCAAGTGTTTGTCCTCCATATCTGTCCCCCAGAAACATTTACAATATCAAGGTGCTATTCGATGAAGTCTGGTGCTTTCGGGCACTTTCAAAGTGTATGAGTCAATAAAAAATTTGAAAAATCTTAATTTCTTTTTCAATTTTTTTTTTGGGGGGGGGTGTCAAGGGGGGGGCTGCCAGAAGGGGAGGGACTGCCAGAGGGGGAGGTGGAGTGGGGATGCCAGAGGGTGAGTAAGTGTTAGTCTCCCAGAATCATTAACTATATCAAGGAGCTATTTGATGATGTCTGGGCAATTTAAAAGTGTCTGAGACAATACCTAAAACAAATTCAGGACTTTTCCATTGTTTTTTTGGGGGTGTGAGGGGTGGCTCACTCTCACTAGAAAATTTTACAATTTTACGACGCTATTTTGGTGCTTAATTGGCACTTTCAAAGTGTATGAGTCAATTAAAGAATTTGAGAAAATCACAATTTTTATCCAATTTTTTTTGGGGGGGGGGGGGGGTCAAGGGGGGAGGGCGCCAGAGAGGGAGGTGGGGTGGGGATGCAAGTGCAAGATGCAAGAGGGGGAGCAAGTATTAGTCCCCCAGAAACACTAACTATATCAAGGAGCTATTTGATGATGTCTGGGTACTTTAAAAGTGTCTGAGACAAAACACTAAAATAAATTTAGAACTTTTCCATTGTTTTGTGGGGGGTTTGAGGGGTGGCCAATACCCCTAGAAAATTTTACAATTTTAAGATGCTATTTGGTGCTTTCTGGGTACTTTCAAAGTGTATGAGTCAAAGAAAAAAAATTACAAAAAAAATGTTTTCAAAAAAAATGTTTTCAAAATTTTTTTTTTGGGGTGTGAAAAAGGGGGGTGCGGTCGCACCCATCGCACCCCCCCCCCATCTGACGGCCCTGAGGTGTATGTTAGACCTCTAAGTTCTTAAAGTAATATGAAACCTAGGTTAGGGGTTTAAATCACATTGAAAAGCTCTATTGTCAACTCAGTACAGCTCTCATAGAAAACCATGGTTTGTTTACATTGGATACAAGTACATTCAAATGGCAAAAACAAACTGATTGACCTGACATCTATATTTATACAACATAGAGAAATTCAATGAATGTCACAAATTAGAAAATTAAAAAAAGACAGCAAGTTACTTTCTTAAAAAGTAATTGCCAGATGTTAAGTCATATAAATTATATGGAAGTCATAAGCATCAGTTTACATATAGTGGTTAATTATATTTTTATATTTACCTATCTGCCTTTGTAGGGCACTAGGGTTGTTTGGGTGATATGCCTCTATAGGGGAGGGTCCATCACCTCTCCCAAGCACTGCACCAACCCCCGTAGCACCCACTTGGCTGACACTGTCCAATCTTTTCTCATTCGCCAGCTCCTGTTTCAGTTTATGGATTTCTGTCAACAGGTTTTCTTTTTCCCGTAAAAGTTCATCTATTTTTTTATCATTCTGAAAAATACAATACTATATGTTTTCCAAAACCTAATAGGCAGTTCTCATTCCAAACATGCATTTAAAAATAAGCCCTATCACTGACATATTTCTTCTTTTATAAATTATCCATCAATTTAGTTTTCAGGGAATTTCTACTTGATAATCCTTGGAAACACCAAAGAAAAGCACAATTTTTACATATTCTTTAGTACATGACTATTATGCTATACATTGCATTTTAGTGGAGTTTTTAACTTGATTTACTCTAGAATCAGGGATAGTGTAGGGAATTGAAACCAGACACGCACCTCTAAAAAGACATTCAGTTGATCTACATACAACTACATTTAAATCATTGCAGAAACAACACAAACTAATTACCTCAAGTTTTGCCGTATATTGGTAAGCAGGTGAGTTTTTATTTTGTAATTCTTCAATTTCGTCTTGTAACTTTGCCGTGTGGGCTTTGAGATCTGTGATTTCATGATGAGCATTAATAAGTCCTGTCTCCTTCTCTTCTAGTAGCTTTGAAAGTTTATCTTCCCTTTCTTGTAACTTATACACTTCCTGAAATTGAATATATATACAGTATACAATGAACCCTGTAAAGTGGAACACCTCTTGAAGTGGAACACTTCTGTTAATGGAACACTTTTCAGAGACTCAAGACCAACCAAGGGCGTTACAATACCCGGGAATTTATCGGTTCGTCCAGTACTTGTTTGTGATAGCGCCCTCTGTAGGTCACTGTGCTTATAGCCTACAGTAATACGGGGTAGGATATCGGGAATTCGGTCAGTTTCTATCCGTCGATTTCGCTATGAATTGAAGCAAGTGTGACCACTTTATCCACTTAAACAATTTGATAATTGATTAAATCTTTAAACAAAATCGATAAACACGTTATACACTTCCTATCTCCTTAGAAATTAGCATGTATTTATGGATTGTGTTTTCGAACAAGGCTCGACCCACCCCAATAGGGAAATCCTTATGCTAATTAGTATGACGTCATATTTTCCTGGGGAATCCTAGATTTCAAGGCCTCAGTCTGTTATTGTGTCAAATGTAAACGCTCTTGGGACGCTCTTTTGCAGACAGAAAATTGACAGATTAGCTTTTAACTTTCAGCTTTGATGTTTAAATATTCTGTATTTCTACCGGACTTCTTGCTGAATATCATATAATGTTATAACTTGATTTGGATCATTGCCTGATTGATCATTCTGAAATTTTGATTGTGATTCATGATTGATTGGCAAGAAAAATAATTCCTATTGTTTTCCAGCGAAGTCAAACTGTTACAGCATGAGTTATAATGTCGAGTTTGCATCATGTTAAATTCTGCTAGTGATTAGAAGTCCATGCACAAGCATACACATAAGAGACAAACACACCCAGGCTCCAGGCCGTGGATGGAAATATAAAACTATTTAGGCACAAACTGTTATTAATAGACCGATATGTAGCCTAGTGTCTGCCATGTATTGAAGGTAAACCAATCTGTATTATTAATGTTTCTTCTATCAATACATGGGTTGTGCAATAGAAAAGCAATGGCACAATCAAAAATGTGCATATCAATCGTGAATATCTCTCGGTTCAAAGCTTATTTCCAACAGAATCGTGTCAAAATATGGTGTCTGAGTAACAGTTATACATTATAAGATCGCAAACTCTTACCAATTATCAGCCGAATGGCTCATTTTCAACGAAATGTCCTTAAGACAACAGCCCTGGGTCGCGCCTGAGACCAAAAACTACTTCAAATAGCCCTCCCCTAATTATATTGGATAATCACATTTATGCGTGCGCGCGCAGCTCATCCAATGAACGAAACGCCACTTCCCGCTGAAATCACCGGGTATTGATCTTTCCCTTGGACCAACTAACTAACATTGTTAAATGAACCTCTGTAAGTGGATCACTTCTTAGAAGTACCAAAGGTGTTCCTCTTAGACAGGTTGTACTGTATATATTGAAAATATGTTCACGCAAAGCATGATATATCACATTCCAGCCAAACAGTGTATGGTATAAAATGCATTCTACATTTTACAACAGAACAGAACAGTTATCTTTAGGTCAACTTCATCAATTTCATAATTACAAACTGACTGTTGAGTATGAACGAAATATTATCATAATTATTAGCAAATTAGGTGTTCACCTTGCAAAACCCTTTCATTTTATTCTTTTCAGTGATACAGTATAAAATATTTTGGCATGTGTGAAAAGAATTAAAGCACATGACTTAATGAATTGAGGGTGATTTGATGCACTCATATCTTGTGTGCTACCCTAATGAATATGGGTTACCACCCTCATTCAAAGTATTGTACAAGCCTCTCATCCACAATTCATTGAGTACATAGTACATTGATACCAAATATCTAATAATAATCGTTTTTACTTTAAGTTATATGAGAATGTAATTTGCACTGAACACCTTAAGTGTACTGAATACTAGAATTTTTTGCACTTACCTCTTTGAGACCATTTTCATGTATGCCATTAGTCATGGCTGGGGTACTGGACGTGGATCCACTCTTCAGGGTAGTTGATCTGTTTGTCACCAAGGGTGTCTTCATCAATGGTTGGAATGCCTGTCCCCCAGGATAAGCCTGGTCATCCTCAGCCACAAGAGTTCGGCCAAGGTCACTTCCTACAGGTGATTGGCGGTTAGAATTTGTTGGAGTGCTTCTGCGACTGCTCCTTCGGCTATCTCCTCTTTGAAAACCCTTTTCAGAACCTCTTAATGAATCTCTGTCAGAACCCCTTTCTGAGCCTCTCAATGACTCACGTTCAGAACCCCTTGCAGAGCCTCTTAATGAATCTCTCTCAGAACCCCTTTCTGAGCCTCTAAATGACTCACGTTCAGAACCCCTTTCAGAGCCCCGTAATGAATCTCTTTCAACGTCTCTATTTGAACCCCTAAAAGATTCCCTTTCAGAGCCCCTTAATGAATCATTTTCAAAGTCTCTATCTGAACTCTTCAGGGATTCCCTTTCAGAGCCCCTTAACGAATCTCTTTCAAAGTCTCTATCCAATCCCCTTAAAGATTCTCTTTCAGAACCTCTTAAGGATTCTCTTACAGAACCCCTTTCTGAGCCCCTCAATGATTCCCTCATAGAGCCTCTTTCCGAACCTCTGATTGAATCTCTTACTGAGCCCCTTTCTGATCCTCTTAATGAATCTCTCTCAATGTCCCTTTCAGAACCCCTTATAGAGCCTCTTTCTGATGTTCTCTCAAGTCCTTTTTGTGAGCCTCTTTCTGAGCCACGATCTGATCCAGGGTGCGATATGTTATCACTGCTGAAAAACTGATTTAATTCCTGTTCATTAGCCATACTTCCATTCCTAGCCTGCCAGTTATGGACATTGTCTACATTGTTGTAATAGCTCCTTTGTTTTTCAGAATTATAATCAAATACATCTGTAACAGCCTCCATGCTCCTTTCATTTTGTCTATATCTTGAATCTGATTGGCTAAACTCAGACCCCGACCTTGAATTTGACCTTGAGCCATGCTCTGTTCGTCCTCCATTCGCCATTTGCTGGCGAACTAAGTCCTCGTATCGATTGGATAATTTAATACTTGCGTCCATTTTTGGTGGAATGTTTTTGAGATCGTTTTCTATGGCTTGTATATCATGTATGGTTGATGGCACTTCTCCTTTGTTATTGTTGCTCACTTCACTTGTTTCAGTTGGCTCATCATCTGGAAATATAGAATAAAACATTTCATAACAATTTCAATTATACAAAGTTCAACCCAGGTGTTACCTTGTATTCTTGCTTCATAACTGTGTACCCCCTCCCCATGTACTTCACCTTCCCAACCTAACACAAGGTGGGGATGGTGGAGTATGTGGGGGAGGGGGTACACCGTCTCGAGGATAGACCATTACCTTTTTACAAAGTTCTCATTTTACCATGACATGAGATTTCAAAACTAGAAATAATTTTAAGATTTCTTGGAATTTTCAACAGGATACAAATGCATTTTAAGCTGAACATTTATTATTCATATCAGTAAATTACTGTAGGTATTGCTTGGGTCTCTTACTTCACATTTCAACAATTTTGTTGTCAAAACAGACATTAGTTTAAAACACCTACTAACAAAACATTAGGCACCCAATATACAATGGCATCACATGCTTAAATGACCAAGGAATAACATTTTGATAGCTTACGATCCAAGTTTGAATTATATTCATAAACTTTTCAGGAATATTGAAATCAAATACACTTGATACACCACTAAATATTCAAATTTATGTTAATCCTTGCACTAACTGACTTATCAATTGGCTTTAAGAATTTAACCAAAATACAAACACAAATATTATATCATTAGAAACACTTATTTTACTGCAAGTAGAATTATATATAAAATGACTGATTTAGAAACCTTAATTGGTAAATCCTTGAGATATAACGGTCGGATGTTATATGGATTTTCGAATCAATTCACAATGAAGTTGATGTCTGGTGTTAGAATTTCAAAGGATTTCATTGGCACCATGTCACGGTTTTCCGTCGCGTTGAATCAAGGAAATGTTTGATTTAGTTATGAGAGAGGAATTTAATGTTACACCCATATATGCCTTAGTACTGTAGACAACATATGTGATACATGTCAGGGGTTTCACTTGAATTTCTCACAACAGGCTAAATAAATGAAATTAATGGGAAATGTAAGTTTAACATGGAAAAGTTGAAAAGTCCCTAAAAACAACAGGCGATTTTGTGAAAACAACTGGTGAAAATCACCTGTTGTCTGCTGCTAATGAAACCCCTGCATGTACTAGTCTATCAGTAGATCTTAAACTAAAATGTTTGAACTATTAATAAATAAACAACATCCTTAATCAAAACTAATAGATTTTATACCTTGCTTTGGTTTAGTCAACTTAGTTGTCTTTTTGGGTGAACTCATTTCCAAATCTACGCAAGAGTGCTTTGCTGGCAAAGCATCTCTACTCTTCGGTTTATCTTTTCTGAATCCAAAACTGAAAGACCTTCCGACTGTTTTCCGTTCTTTCTTTTTATCCATTAAACTTTCTATCTTGTTATCTTTACTCATACCAGATTCGATCTTCTCTGGGCTGTACCTTTTTATGACATCTTTTATGTTACTTTCAAAGTTGTCAACGGCATCATCTTTAGCCTCTGTATCATTTTCACTATCAATAATATCAAGATCTCCAATTGCTTCCATTGATTTGGCTTTTTTACTCAAACCAAATCGTTTCATAGTAAACCTTTTTTTCTTCTCAGTCTTAGGTTTTCTTTCAAGTGAATTTGTCCGACTAGACACCGAGCTGGTGTCACTCATTTCACCTTCCTTATAATTTGGTGAGATTTCAATTTCAGTTTTAGGAGCCACACCAAATTTTGCCAAAACATTTGAAATGTCTTGCTCATAAGGTGCGACATTCTCTGCAGACATAACTGGTAGGCTTACGCCATCTTGACTTTGTTTTTCAACTAATGAACTGGTATCATCAAGTTTCTTTAATGGTCTATCTTTCTTGTTTCTAAAATTCAATTTTTTTATGAGACTTTTTGGCTTGTCCTGTTTGGCCTTTTGTTTGGCTTTGCGAAGTTCTTCAAGATCATCTCTTGGAGACATATGAAACCCATCACTACTTAAGCTGTCATAGCTCCGTGGACTGCTGAATGTTCCACTACGAGGAGTGTCAGCTTTAGGTGGACTATCATTACCAAATTCACTTTTAACACTCATAGTTTCCTGTTGGTCCAGCTTATTTTTGTTTGATGATTTCTTACGAATGGAACTCATTCTTTTGAACAGTGATGGCTTCTTATCTTTTACAGAATCACTGTCTCTATCTATTGATTCAATGTTCGTTTTAGGCAGACTCTCTGGACCTTTTGGTTTAACTGTCAATATTGGCTCAGAGTTTCTTTTCTTACTAAAACTGAACCGCTTAAATATACTAGTCTTCTTTGGAGTAGTCCTTGATTCTTTATTCTCCTTTGCTTGATCTTTTAAGGCATCCTTTGTCAGATCTTTTGTGTCTTCTTTTAGATCCTCTGATTTCTTGTTCTCAACTTTCTTAGACTGGATTGATTTGTCTTTTTCACTATTTGCTCCAGGGAGCAATTCTTTATATATTTCCACACTGTCAGGCTTATCTTGAGCATGAATGGGTGGTCTTTTTGGAAAAGAAATACCTTCTTTTGCTGTTAGGTTTGATTCAGCTAAGAGTGTTTCTGCACTTTTCTTCAGATATTCTATTGAATCATCAAGTATTCTCCCACCATTTTCATCCTCAATTTGAACATGCTTCACGTTTGACTCAAGAATATTCTCAATGCTACTACTACTTATAGAGGATATTTCACTGATTTCCCCACCTATAGAGATTTCATCACTATCATCATCTGCTGTGTCATTATCCTTCCCTGGTTTATCATAAACTTTGTTAGTTAGATCATCAACTTTTGTAGGTTTGATAACATTTTGAACTTGCTCAGCCTCGTTGCATGGGACATTTAAATCCCCCTCTATGGTTTTAAGATTAGTCTCGAGGGTATGTTCTCTTCTATTGCTTACCGGATTTATGGATTTCAATTCAGCCATTATTGCTTTATCATTTGATCTTATTTCCAATCACAATAATTTATAATCCGCTCCTTGGTTGATCTTCATTTAAGGTCTGATACAGGTCAATTCTATCCCATAATTTCTTGATATTTAAACTTGGTTTAGCACAAGTCTGTGATGTATGCTCAATTAAATGTCCAAAATAGGCAACAAAATAGAGTTACGCTACAAATTATATGGTAATATTTACATAGCGAATGACTGGTTCATAAGAAAGCAATTATCAACGGTGTATGTTTACTGTAAAATTCAATGCGGAACCAATTATTGAAAAACGAACAAACATTATGAGTTTACAGACGATATGAGAAAAGTAACTAAATTAAAGTATGACGGAAATGAATATCACCTTCAATTATGTAAAACCAGAATAGAATCTCCTATTTGATTCAGACATATTAGAGAAAAAACAAAATTATTGCAGTTACAGACTGTCACTTTTTGAACAGGTCTTTTATTTATTTGAAAAGCACTATATGGCTTCCGTGCTCAAAAGGTGCCAAATACGGCCTTCAATAAGGCGGACAATGGTAAAGTAAATTAATACTATTGTTGACTCTATTGATTTCTATTGGTTGAAATATTTCTACAAATGATCTGATAAATGAGATGAAATTACCCGCCATTTTTTAAATCCTCCTTACAAAATTCCTTATGATTTTCAATGAAAACCATGAAGATGGGGAAGTGAATCTGGTAAAAGGGATTGAAAACTTAACTAAAGGAAATGTGAAAAAAAATATTGGTTTAGATATCTCAAGAGTCAACTGTTATATAAAACATGTGTATTACAATGAAAAATTGGAGATTAACATATAAAAATGGCTGATTACATTTTAGACAGAAATTACTCTAAACCTCTCAGACAGCTCAATTTAGTGTAAAACCCAGATTTTCTTCTATATTCTATGATCCTATTTTAAAATTCTGGTAAATAGTAGGTATTCTTAATTCTTGGCTGACCATCTGATTTCAAATAAATGTCAAATAAAAATATTTAAATTACAACAATCTGAGATCAACACTTGAGTAATATATTTGATCTAAAAAGTGTGTTTTTACAGCCGATTATCCTAATTTAGCATTACATAATTGTTTAATCTAGCAGAAGTAGCCTACTTGAGACATTATGACTTGGGGCAGTGAAAAATTAAATTGTGCATGTAAAATCCATACTTTCACTTAACATGCATCAATTTACTTTTGTTTAATTTAAGCCGATTTTGGAAAGGTTTCTTTAGTTGTGCAACACTCACATAAACCAGGCATAATAAATTAAAAGAATAAGTACACCTTAAGAAAATAAGCCTAGCATCGCTTACACTGCAGCAAATAATAAAACATTATTACAAAATCAGATAATACAAATCAATTGTTGTCGAGAACATGTTACATATGTGAGAAAATCTGGGTATTTCAATTGAAATGATCTTTAAAGCTTTGCATATGATAAAGTAGAATAACAGTACCCCAAGCAGGCTTGATTTCACGATTTCAAAAATGGTGTAATAATTGAATTACAAACAGTACGGGGATATGCAATTCCAGATTTATTTTTATGACTTGTGAGAAAATTGTTCAATTGAGGGGTGTTTTCACACATTTTCACTTATTGATTGGGGATTAGTAATTGAAAAGAGAATTAAAGCGATTTCATAGCTGTTTGAGACCTAGGCATTTACCATCTAGAATAATAGCAAGTATGATATAATTCCATATAGTTGTTTGTTCCATTGCAGGCCCGTAGCCAGGATTTCCAAGGGGGTTCACTTTTTGAAAAATTTCTGGGGGGTTCACTTTTTACAATTTGGGTCCAAAAATGGCTAAAATCACTTAAAAAAAATGCCAGGGGGCATTTGCTCGTACCCATCAACCCCCCGGGCTACAGGCCTGCATTAAACAAGAATTTTGACCAAGTAAAACATACATGTAATGGTATATGGACCATATACAAATATATGACATAATGCAACATTAGTATTTTAAGCATCTCTTTCATATAGTGTATGTATATCGCTGTAGAATCAAACTCCAGGACACAAATATCGCCCGTACAAACAACAATATCCCAGAATATATCTAATAGTGGTGGGACTCCCACTCAAAATGTAATTGGAGTCAGATCTCACCTTAGAATTTTAGATTCAAGTAATTCATAAGCTACAGAAACAAATTTTGTGGTGCAAATATACCCAGGATACAAAGAATAACACACAAGGGTACAAGTGTTACCCCTGAGTACAACAGCTGCCCCAGGGTATAGATAAGGGGACAATTAATACCCCAGGGTACAAATATTGCCCCAAGGTAAAAATAAAGCTTTATTAGTAGGGATTATTCCAAGTTTTCAACATGATTTTCTCATCAGTAAAGAAATATTTTCTTTGAATATCAACAGACTAAAATAAACAAGATTTAAGATTAATCTGTTGATTAAATAAAGCAACCATAATATTTTACCAATAAGTTTCAATTTCAATTATTGCTCAGTTATTTAAAACAAACTCAAGGCTTGCAGCTGAATCTACCCTTCATCACTATTGGGCAACCAAACATCCCTCTGACGATCACATATATGATTTTACAGTTTTGATCTCAATAATCATAAATGCATCTTTCACTGTATGTAATCAGAGTTTGAATTTGAACTGAATGAATGTTAGCTACTTTGTATAAGCAGACAATGCAGTGTTATTCTGACTACAAATAATTCTGAATTTCAGAATTAGTTATTTAGATTTTTGTGATACATGACACAAGTAGCTGTACAAGCAAGTAAGCAACCAAGTGTATTGATGAATATCTGCAAAAGTAACGTAACCTTAACAACCATACCTTTGATGCAGAGTTCTATCTCCTTATAAGGAGACAAGATAGTGTTCCACTTCATCATTAGTCGATTGAGTTCAAAAAAAAAAATTCCCAGATCGCTGCATCACTTTAACCTAATCCTAAATATTATGGACATCAGGTCTCATAAGTCTTTATGAATATCTACAGTTTCACAAGTGTCTAATCTCAACTGATCAATTTCAAAATCAATTAAAGCTTAATGATCAACACTTATCCACATACTCATAAAATACATAACATGTAGTTAAATTTTATTAAAACATTCAACCAAATATTGATTTTCCTTTACAATTCTATTATTCCTCATGTACTTTCCAACGGTTGTTTTTCTATTGTAATTGAATCTGTATACATTTATATGTCACCTGGCAAACTTTAAGGGTACACATGTCAAACATTCCAAGTCAACAATGGATCTTGTAAAAGTGATGTCTCTTAATTTACATTATTGTTAGAGTACTATAATCCCAAGATTTACATGATTTCAATTTTGTATACAAGAATAGGGCATGGTTGTACTATCCATTTTCCCATCTATGAATCAAATCTACAATGCCATTTCATGGTTATTTCATAAAGGGGTTTTAGAATAAGGACTTCCCTTAAAGAACACTATTTTGTAAGAATCCAAACACTCACCTTCAACAAACAAAGCTCCTCTACTTTCCATTGTAAAGTTTTTTCAAACTCAACAATTGATTTAGAGTCCTTTTTAGTCTTTTCTATTTATCACAAACTCAGTTATTTTAACCAATGAATACTTTGCTGATAATAACAAAATAACATTCAATTTACTTGGCCGGTTTATATGTAGAATCCAAATCCTTGATTTTCGTCAGTTAGAGAGTCACTAAAAATGTTTCAAACATTGCCTAAAAATATCCTCTACTGAATTTCCAAAATTCAAACCTGTAGATTTAGTGCTTATGGTACCCTTTGCATTCATTTGACTTCGCTTCTTAACTATAAATATATTCTGTGCGCAGGGTTGTGCTATGGAATAAAGTCTATGCCAGGTGATTTAAAAATTTAAACAAACTGATTGTTTAACCTTATCTCTTTTGTAAATACACTATGAAAACAATTCAACAGATTTGTATGACCTCTATAAGTAGAGTATTATACTGGAGATAAACGTAACTAGAAAACAGCAACGCCAAAGCGTAGCAAATCCCATCGAACAGCCATGGCTGGCGTATTTACAAACAAAGTACAAATATGAACAATATCGCTCCACTACTTTTCGAGTTACAGAAAAAAACGTAAAATAGTGATTAAAGGCCGCCATTTTTTCAAGATGGCTGCCATGTGCTTCTTTAATATCTACATTTCTAGCTTTATTAATGTCCTATACAATTTTTTTACATTTAAAACATATTGCTATTACAGTTTTACATATTGACCTAAATTACTGTAAAATCGGCACTAAAATGGCTGCCATTTTGAAATGAGCGGCCATTTTGAAAATCGGCTTTCGAGCAGAACTTCTACCTCCATAGGGTATATGTGTACAAAATATGAACAAAATCGGGCCAAAGGACGGACGTACGTACGGATGGATGGACAGACAGAGGCATTCCCTATATCTCTCCAAATTTTGTTCGATGGGATAATAAACAAGACCATAAGACCTCACAAAATTATGGCCATATTTTGGTGAATAAATTTTCAAAATATTGGCAAAAAGTGGCCAGGAAAGGTTAACAGTCAGAAAATACATTACTTATTTCTTTTGCCAATTATTGAGAAATTTAATAATAAAAAAAAATTGGAAGGTTGAGTGTCACATGGACTACATAGGTAAGGTACATATATGTATATATAAGAGTGTAATTCATAAGACAATGCAGTAAGTCAAGACAAGGGTCTCTTTATCAAGTTAATTGGTTTCATACATGGCTAGTGTTTACCAACACTGATATGTATACCCTCTCTCTTCATCTAATGCCTACTTATCTGCCCCATGAGATTTATTTTGCTTGTATTGGACTGCATAACAAGTAGTGTTGCATAGAGGCCCCCCCCCTTCCTGCCCTTATCTTCTTCATCTCTTATGTAGGTGAGCTATGAGGGTTATATATAGGGGTCCAGGCCCCTAGCCAGGATTTGCCAAGGGGGGGTTCAGTTTTCATAAATTTCCAGGGGGGGGTTCACATTTGACAGTTTTGGCCCAAATATGACTAAAATCACTTTGAATCACAATGATTTTGAAAGAATTTTTGGCCAGGGGGGGGGGGGTTCGCCTGAACCCTGCGAACCCCCCCTGGCTACGGGCCTGGGGTCATTGAGTTGAAAATATCCAAAAACTAATCAGGTCCAAATCTTTTCTCCTTCACCTCTAATGTAGGTGAGGTATGGGTGCCCCAGGTATCGGTGTCACAAGGGCTTCATATGAAGGGAGACTCAGAAACAAGACACAAAGTGAAAAATATAGCACC